GGCCTTAATAAAATATTTTATTGGTTATATTACCATGCCAATGATTTAGCAGTGGCTTTTTATAAACATAATATGATAAAAAATATAATTAGTTGGTTTAAAACGCATTTTTTAAAAGTATTTGTTTCACAAAAAAATAAAAAAACAACCACTAAAACATGGATTCAAAATATAATCATATCTTCCCTGAAAAATCTAACCTAATCTACCTACTTATTTGAGAATGCAAAACAGAACTCTTAAAACTATTATTTAGGAAGTTAGAAATAGAGGTAATATTTCACTTCTTAAAGAAATAGAGGTAATATTTCATTCTGAAACCTAGGTTACACTATTTTTAAATAGCTAAAATCACGTTTTTTGCGAAAATTTGAATTTTTTAGCTTCGATCACTAATTTTTATGCTCGGGATTTAAATGGAAAATAATTATGCTCCGAACCTCGCTTAACTATAAAATATTTAAACATCTATGCACTATAATTTATTTTAAAATGTTCAATCAGCTATGATGCGAAAATCAACTTATTATTAGGGTAATATTACCCCTTATTGCTTATAACCTTATTCATATGAATATTAAGTTAGAAGTTTATTAGAAGTGAAAACATAAAATTTGAAAAATCACTGTAAAATTGTTTTTTGTAGATTATTTTCCAAGATAAAATAGATGGCTTTTCAAATTAATATAATTCTTCTTAATTCTCGTTCCTCAATCATTATTTCTTCCATTATGTCCTTTATTTTAAGCGCTGGATTCGTTATTTAATTATATGTAAATAATTAAATACTATTTTGTATTATATAGTGTGCTATAATGTGTAATCACAAAAGCAATTTAATAAAATAAAAAAATGTTTGTAAGAAAAAATATTTTAAATCAAATAATTAATTAAAGATGTGTTTTATAACGAGTGCCAAAGTTATAACCTACAATAATATATATATTATAAATTGATATATTTTAAATAAAAATAAATGTAAAAGTTTGCTTTTACGTCTTGCATATTGCGTTTAGTTATAAATTATAATCATTCGTGGGGCTCTTTGTACATGGTGGTGAAATTGATGTTTTGACTGCCTGGATTGTGAAGAGGAGGAATACGAGATTGCTGTTTTGGGAGTGGTTAATGCACAGCGGGCGGGCGGGGGTGGATTCGGTTGACTTTTTACGACACGAGCCTTTGACGAGGCGGCCAATTTGTCCCCCGGTTCCTTTGCGGCCGGTTCACCACCGTCATGTATACATGTTGCCGACGCACGATGGGGTAAAGTAATGCACACGCGGGGCGGTTGGTCTTATGGACGGCGGTGGTGAGGGACGAAAGTCAATCAAACGAGCCCAACAGGACGGGAAACGCTTCCGCTGTTAGCTTGCAACAGTCACTCGATTACAGAAACGCCCGGCTTTAACTCGTATCAAACATATAATACACTATGTTGTATGATTTTTGTTCCCTGGTAGTACTTAAGACGCTACATCGGATATAACATTATTTTTTCTATCAGGAAACATAAATGTAGCGTAAGGTTACTATTTATTCAAAAATAAAACCAGAAAAATTCGGGCAATATCCCTTTCAACGTCTCCCTCTTTTAAATAAAAAAAAAATTCAATATACTAAACCAAAATATGAGAAAATTAAATGATGTAATAATATATTACTTTACTAATATTATAATATATTATTTTGTATTGACATATTTTGGTGATTCGATGTATGTAATAGTATACATAACAACAACACTATTGTATACAGCCTGTGCTAAAGAATCTAAATATTTATATTCATAGTGAGCATAGTTATTATTACTTCAATATTTATTTGAAACAGCGCTGTTATTCTGGTCTAATATAGGTATTTCAGTAGACTGTGATAACAGTATAATATCATTTTAGATTAATTAATATTCACGAAAAACTTTAATTTTAAATTAGTCGGCATATTTAAAATGACTCCTAGATAAAAAAATTTCAAAAATTGCCTATTCTTTGCCCCTTAATAAATAACTCTTAACTAAAAAAAATAACTCGCCTCTCGTAGTTCCATTACTGGTATAGTGTAATATACGAAATGATAATATTTTTAAATAATTATGTCGTTATGATGCGTGTTTATTTATATTTCTGTATAATGTATTATATCTATATTTTTGTTATGCATAAAATATTATGATTTAAAATTGGAAACTGTAACAACTTATGATAACTATTACAGCACTTCTGGCAAATTAGTATCATGTACATAAAATATGCATATTATAATAGTGAGTCGATAGGATATATGTATATATATATTTATATATATTATACATACATGCACAATTGCAACGATGTTTTAATTATGGCTAGTCGGTTTCTATACGTATGTGAAGCACTCCAGACACACCATCACATATATTATTTTGAAATGGCTTGTCAAAGCCTCACATTACATACATATATAATATAAACACCTCAAATTTGCTGCCATCGCAATCACGGTCACGTCCGTTGTTTGGAGTTATTTTATCCGTTGTCGGTTCGTTGGAATCACAATGTTAACATAACAACAAAAACAAGTATCACAACCCAGTCGTGTTATTCGCATGATCCTTTTTTTTTAAATCCCTCTTGTTTAAGGTGCTTTAAACGCCTCAAACCATATAGATTTTAGCGACAGTTTAATCCATACGGTTTTGTCCGTGCCACTTTACTCGAAACAGTTGCCTAATTGAGCTTATATAAACCCCCAAAAACGCACAGGAAATAATTAAGCTATTGTAAATCTGTAAACATCTTAGGTGAGGTATGACGTTTTGGTTTGTACGGCATTAAATTGTATTGAAACGGCGGTTTATACACTATTACTAACTGCTTGAGAGCCTTTAATCGGCCAAAAGAAGTAATAGTCACATGTAATCTTTAAATATGTTAATACACACTATGATAATAAGGGAAAATATCTATGTAATATAAATTACCATAGTAGTTGTATTTATTATCCCTGATATAAATTTTAATAATACTGCTACGGTAGGAACTAGGAATATTGGACCAGCGTCCTTCAGTAAGCAATACCGAATAGTGATGACCGGCTAAAGTTTTTGTAGTTTTTATTGTTTTTACGTACATTTTCGGCATGTATAGTATTATATTTTACAATTTTCAACTCTCCATTGTTTGTGTCCAGTCATCATTAAGGCAATATAAAAAAATGTATTAAAACTATTTTCTCAACTCTTTATTTTTTAATAATAGCTTCAGTAATTATTATGTTCGGATTATGAAAACAGTATTTGCTATTCTAGGGCATATGATAACATAGATTACCAATTCTGTTGGGTACCAATTATCTGTTGACAGTTAATTTCAATTTAGTTTGATATGTTTACGGAATTTACTGTGTCAATGATACCTTTCGTTAAACGTGATAGATCGTAATAATTACTAAATCATTTATACATAATCGCTGTAAAAAACATGTCGTGTTGACTATACAATATGATGCAACGTGATCTCAAATAAAACAACTATCCGGTTTCAGTATGTAATCAGGATATAATATGGTCATCAGTGTTGGAAAACGTGACGGCACAACGGTCCTTTTTTTTTTTACACATGCATCCTTTGCGTTCGGGGGGGGGGGGGGGAAGGGGGTACTTGCCTGGAGGGGCATTAGTTCCCCCCGGGCACAACGGTCTTAGATGTCAAAAAAAATATGTTTAGAAGTACGTTAAAAATTACTCGATTTTCAACACTGATTGATAGCATAACCTTGTAATGGATCTAAAGAGATAATTATTAAATACTCTTAGGTGAAACCACACGGGAAAAGTTTATCCTAGAAGTGTAACAATTATTTCTATTGAAACAAAGACAGACCTCGTTAAGGGTAATCGCTTATAATATATTCTCCAAATGCTAAGCTGTTAATTATGATCTGTGTACTGTAACGCGTTTATTACAGAATCGTTTAACTCAAAAGCAAGTGGACCTTTTCGAATTAGCCAGCGCTTGTTTATATCGTATACCAACGTGTTTTTGCGTTCCGAGAAACGTCTGTCATCTAAATTTTTGAATGTCCGATAAAAAGTAAACAAATGTCAAGGAAATGTAATGCAAACCAACATAATCGTCGACCGGCTGAACAAGCAGGTTTTTAAACGTTTCGATATTATATAAGGGTTTGTAGTCAACGGCTGAATGTATCGTCGATTGTATAAATATGTATACAACCATTTCGCAGCATATTTGATTCCTTATTTAAAATTTAAATATATGTACACATATTGTGTAGTAAATGGAGTAGGACTAATAGTATTATTAATAATACTCGCGTCATGTTTTGAGAAACTTCATAGCGCCACCGCCATCGGAAAAAGAACATAATATTATTTTTATTTCTCAGTGGCAAAACGGCGAATCGTTTTTCTTTTGAGTGGTTCATAAAGAGTTTCCAAAGAATCGTTTTATAATTCAATTTCGAGAAAATCGATAACAAGCTTTTAACCAGTTCTATTCATGCACAGCTGTTCACCCGCTATATTAACTATAATCTCATTTCCGCAACACTCCACTCTAGTGTTCATTTCGCTTGAGTTGCTCGTTTACTTTAACCCGAGATCGCTCGTGATTCGGATAACATTGAAACTCAGACACATTTCTATACACGTTAAAGGGATTTTAATTAAAGAAATTATGGAATTTACTCATAGTTTATCGCAAGAGACTTTTGATCGAATTTAATGTTACCAAATAAATATGTTAGAGGTCCTTATTTCAAGTGTATCTGTGTAATAATAGTAGTGTACTTATATGTCTACTATAAAATTAATTTTACTGTAACAATAAAAATATATACATACATTTATTAATTTTTTTTTTTTTTAAATAAATCTTCAAATCTATTGAGAAAATTAATAAAGTCTATCCATCTTGGATTTATTAAACGATCCAATATTGATAACTATTTTTAGTAAAGTAACTAACCAGTTATTCCTCACAAGGCTTAAGTTAACCCTAATCCACCGAGAATTCAAAGTTTGTAAAAAAATCCTAATTTACATATTCATGCAGGTCGTTGCAGGAATAGACAGGCGTCGGCAAGTTCTTTGTTACATGAATGTAACAGTCGGCGGAAATGGGTTAATGAAGAATAATTTATATAAAGAAATTGTAAAACTGTAAAAATGATTATAAAATTAATAATTACAACCCTAACACCAAAAGAAAATTATTATTTATTACTAAAATGTTTACTTTGTTTTAGTCAACGTTTACGTTAAAACAGTATTCTAACAAAGTTCAACTAAAACAATACTTTATTCTGGCTTGATCTAATTATATATATCATTAACATGTTTGCAGTAATTCAATTTCCTGAAACTGTACTAAACGGCTCTGCAAGAACAATAAATTTGTCAATTGTTGATGCGTTGTGGAGGGCTTAAAAGTTTTAAGACACAGCATTGGAACTGTTCCAACTTCCAAGTCTACCCTAGCACACCCTATAATTACAACATTTATATATTATATATATGTTGTGTGTGTACGTTTAGTGCTTCCAGGGAATAGATATTTTGGCAACGTTGGTTTGTTTTTTGTTTTAATAGAATAAATAGCGATATAAGTATATGACACTAAGCACATCTGTATGCGCACAACTTGTGAGTATTGAAGTGCCAGGAATAAAATGAGCCATGAAGTATTTAAACTTTATTTGACCTGCTTTGTTGTTGTTTGCAGACGAATGGGTGGCAGGAGATTGACGGTTAGCTGTCTGGTGTCCGGTTGATGGCCGCCGAACGCGATGCGGACAACGGATTCGAAATTAACAGCTGCGGCGTCCCGCGTATACCACCGATCGGAGCGGCCGTTCGGTGGACCGCCGCGGCCGCTGCGGCCACTGCCCACCCGGACAGCCAAATGGAGATCAGGTTTCCGGCCAAGGCACCACCACAGCCGAGCTTGGCAGCGTCGTCGCAGGCGCAAGAACTGTACCGTCGTCTTCACAGCCGGTCCCTGTCCTCGCTTCCTCCCGAACCTTTCATGATCATGCGATCCAAAGCCCTCAACCGACGGGTGTGCATCAACGTAGGCGGCGTCAAACACGAAATACTCTGGCGGACGTTGGAACGACTGCCGCACACCAGGCTGGGAAGGCTGCGGGACTGCAATACGCACGAGGCCATCTCCGAACTGTGCGACGATTACTCACTTGCCGACAATGAATATTTCTTCGATAGACACCCCAAGTCGTTTAGCTCGGTAACTCATTCATAAGTTTACTCAATTGTTAATATTTTAAGATAAAAACAAAACTTTAGAGTACATAGGATACCCGTTTGGGCTGTGATTTAAATTTCGAATATTTGAATAATTCCTATGCATTTGTCAATCATGTCGTCAACATTGATTAGATAATTAAAATGTGAAATACAAGCCACTAATAACTGTTATGTCTAATAACAATATTGATTCTCACATTGTTAAAAAATTATTTACTACAATGTATGAAATAACACGAATATTTTTTAGGCGTGGTTTTCTATTATTTCCGCCACACAATATAAGTAGATAGTAATACAATTATTTATGTCATTAATTGGAGAATCTTTGTAGAGCTTTTCTTTCAATTCCCGTCATTAATATTTTGTTTTGTCAGATTAAATATCGCACATGTGTTTCAAAAGTGACAAAAAGTAAAAATAATTTTCAGTTATCGCTGTGGTAAAATTTAGATACACAATTTTTGAAGTGCACAACAATTATGTTGAATCGTTTTATGCTCCTGAACAATTTAGAAAAATGAATAATTATATTAGCTATTTAGGTTTAATATGCTCACTTATCAGTTTTCCCCAAATTTTCACAAAACATTCATTATTTATTTGTGCCACTTTTGGAACCCAAGTATGATATAATAATAATCAGTTATGCAACATAATATATTGACAAACTATTGATTTCCAAAGGCATTATTTTGGTTTCTTGATGCCCACGAGTTTAATGTAAACACATTTAACTTGATAATTAGTACTCGACGGCTGCTAAAGGTCACACTTAAGCTCTCTGCAATCATAAATTGATTGCATAATATTTCTCTGTATATCACTGCCTTGTCTAAAAACTCTTGTTCTAAATTAATTTTGAAAATTAACCTTATTCAATTTTTATTGTAAAGAATTATTTTTGTCGTTTAATCGTACACGAGTGAGATCGAGCATTCTAAAAACAGCTTCCTACATTTTATCCTTTTACTTAATTTACTGACTCTTCATTCCACTTTGTATCGTTCTGATCTTCAATTTAAAACTACAATAGTTCACACAATTAAATATTAATATGGCTTCGGACTTCCTCATAAAATATCCTTTATTACTAGAAAAAACCTAACAAAACTTGTGGTATATAGCCAAGTAATAAAATAGTTAATATTAAAAAATACCCTTAACCACAAAATATGATACACTTTTCAGTGGTACCTAGTGTATATTCAAATTTCGATTTTATTACTGCACTAACCACTGTACTTAGTGGTTTTTTCTTTTTACAGTCCCCACGTTGATAATTATTTCTTAGTTACTTTTATTTTTCCTTAACCTAAACCTGTACATCTCCTTTGCAATCTTTACTTGTTTTATTTCTTGTAGTATAATAATACAAAGCATGATAATGATAACAATTTCGTTGATGACGTTTGCGTGTTGCTTGTTATTTTCTTTCGCAGGTGCTTAATTTCTATCGAACTGGGAAACTGCACTTGGTTGACGAGATGTGCGTGCTGGCATTTAGCGATGACTTGGAGTACTGGGGGGTGGACGAGCTATACCTGGAGTCGTGTTGCCAGCACAAATATCATCAGCGCAAGGAGCACGTGCACGAAGAGATGCGGAAGGAAGCGGAATCACTGCGACAGAGAGACGAGGAGGAGTTTGGAGAGGGTAAATGCGCGCACTATCAGAAAATACTTTGGGACCTGTTGGAAAAACCTACTACAAGCATTGCGGCTAGGGTAAGTCGCCGACTGTAAGTCCGTTTGCGGTCGACACGACCGCATGCGGCACGTCTTCATGTATTTTTTTCTATTTCATTTATATATATATATATATATATATATATATATATATACATTTATGTATAAAACTAAACAATACGTGTGCTTGGGTAATTTTTTTTATAAAACTGTTGATGATGGTGTTATTTGAATTAACCGTTAAATGTATAAAATCACCAACACAGACAAATAACTAACTAGATTGCTAATAAAAATAAAGTGTAAAAATGGAAGCCAACCGATATTTCCCATAATATTCATTAAATTCTCGGCAAGTAAAAATAAAGATTGTATTACACATATTAGTTGTGTGCAAATTTTCTGTATGATTAATGATAATATTAGCAATCTAGTTTAATATGTGCAGGGTGCTTCCAGATAAAACAGCAAACTTTTATTTTGAAATTCAGTATTTTCAAAACTTTTATCATCTTATTAAGTAAACTAATCATTTACAGCATTAATTGAATATTGTTCTGATGTTTAAATGTATACTTAATATTTTGCTGTTTAATCTGGGAACATTCTGTATGAGTTCGGTGTTCACTTTTTTTTCGTGACCGGGACCTGCGGCAGTGTTGAGCATTATTTAGTTAAAAAATGATCTAAATAATTTTCGAAAGAATAATCTTTATTATTCTTTATTTAACCATTACCTTTATCTTAAACATTCTAATATAAAATTGTACTGTGTCTAAAATATGTACTATACCATTACAATCAACATACGTACACGGAAATAAAGTACATATTTGGACTAACTAAATTTATTGTACCCTATATTAACCATAATTTTAGTTGGTCCAACTATGTATATATTTTCCGTATAATTTAATTTCGAATAATTAATTTTGTCGTTATTTAAACTTTTGAATATTTTATTTTTATTTTTTGTAATGCTAAATACCAAATTCGGATTTTAACATTTTCGTCTCCTTGCCCCTAAAACCCTCTAGATTCATTTTACGATTTACTTGTTCAGCAACTCTATCAATCAAATATCGTTACTGATTAGTAATATAAGGATAAATGTTCAATCGGAAACAAAATTTGTAAAAGCACATACAAAAATATGTTCAAATCAAAATTTCACCAAAATCCATATTTTTAATTTAGGCACACCAAACACATGTTTTATGCAAATCTCAACTTGATCCAAACGTTTTCTATGAAGTTATAGCGTGTCAAAATTTAAAACTCTCAAAAACGTTCTAAAACACGGGTACGTTCATAGAACAATCTGACCATAATATAAAAATATTATTTTAATATCTGACCATATTTTTTTTTAGTAAATTTTTATTATGTTATAAGGTAAATACTAGGCTAAGTTTCAGCTTATATCTTAACAAACAAACAAATGAGTTAAAACAATAAACTTCTCCTCTCATAGATTTAAATATTTTTAAACAGAATCCTCTCAAATAATGTACTATACAAATTTCGTCTCGATATGACCATTTCTCACAAAGTTATAACAAGTTAAAGTGTAAAGACGAAAAATGTACAAATGTTTTAGGGGTTTTTCTCATTTTAAAGGGTGAAGGAGTGAACTTTTTCAACTATTATCATCCTGCCTTCTCTCTCCAAAGTACCATTTAAACAACATTTTTGATCGATAAAGTTTCAAATCGAGTAAATCTGTCGAGCTGTTCAAAAGTTGAATAATATATTGAACGTAACAGAAAAACAAAATTGGCTTCGCGTCGAAGCTACATTATCATCTAGAGAATAGCCAAAAGGAGAGGAATGATATTTAATAAAATAAAAAATAAAATTTCGAAAACAATTTTGCTCAACACTGATTCCTATGACATGACCCAGAACCGTTAGCGAGTTATTCAAGTTTTTTTTTTTTGAGTTTTCATATTTGATTTTGTTTGATACTTTTAATTTTTCTTTTATTACGAGTGTGTTAACAGGGAATTTATTATGCACGAGCCGCTTCTTATTTGTACCTAAAATAAAACATTTTTGTTTTTATCACTGGCTGCAGTGACACACGACAAGTTATACATGCATTGACTGCTAAGCATAATAGATATAACAAAAAAAAACATATATAGAACTCGGCAAAATGTAAAAAATTAATTACCAAGTACCGCGTGGAATGTGTTTGTTCGCAATGGACTCGTTCGTCGCGGAAGTCAACAGGAGACGCCGATTTTTTTACCTTGGATTGGAATCCCAACTTTTTTTTTTACATTTTGGTTTGCTCCTACCTTGTTGTATAAGTAGATGAATCTTGGCGTCCTTTGGGACATCCGGGGTTCGTGTTGGCGCCGGGATAGCCGTCCAACCAAAGCGATCGACTTTCCGGCCCCGGGACCTGTCTCGGACGTCCCGAATGGACCCGGATTTCAAATTCGACCGGTTTGTTGCCGTTATTAATGCGACTGAAGTTTTGATTGTTGTTTGTTATGTTTGGCTGACGGCGGCCGCTTTGATATATTATGTGGATTTCGCTTTGGATTTTATTTTCCTTATAATCAAAATACAATACATAACGATAATTTATAGTTTTACTATCCACCAGTTGTGCCAGTAAATTATTTTATTCATTGCGTGCGTCGCTGAATTATTTTACTTCTACAGGGAAGACTGGGTCCTTATTTTAGTTTTACATCGCCAAATCAAATATAGAGTTGTAGTAGTTTCAACGCCTAAAACCTACAACCACTGTATGACGTTTTCTAATTAAATTATTGTTGAGATCCTCGACGCTAATTGCTGCGGTAATATTTTTTATAAAATAACCACAGTCCTTTGCGGCTTTCAGGCTATATACATACTCGTACAAAAACTTTAGTTGTTAAAAAAGTTTTTCAAAATAATCATTCAGCGAACTTGCTATTTGCCCGCGTGTCATAATTTAATTTCAAACAAACCGTTCGCGCGCCACGTAATCATTTAAAGTTAACCGTAACGGCGCGGCGCCACGACCAATCGAACGCGGTAGAAAATCCCCATAGATATCTACTCTATTCTCCCTCTATCCTATCACAGTGAATACTTCTAAAATTGTACACGTAATTGTTTCGGATTAGGATAAACATTTTGAAACGGTACCCCGAAGAAACTGTGAAGTATAAACTTATGTCTAATCATCATTTCACTTTAAACCTAATTATTCATAATAATAGTAGATCGTACATTGGATAAACACCATAAGATTTTCTCGATTTTCGGAAGTGTATCGATAGCGCTACCTTAAATTATACATCATTAACAAATTTGGAATCATTTAAAATATATTCTGTAATATTAAAATATTCAAGGCTGAACTTTTCAACTAATTCTGTTTTAAAGTATATTTGATGAACGATTTCAAATTTTAAACACACAAAATAGACACAATTTTTTTCCTCCGTTTTTTAACTCATCACTGCAAAACTAGTTCCGCATTGAAACTTGAATAATCTGTTTTTAAATAATGGTTACTGCCTAGTTAAACAGATGCATTTGTGGATAGTTTGTTTTATTTTAAACAGATTATTATTTTTAGTAAGCATTTCATAAGAAGAATTTTTATTAAAATAACAAGTTTTGAAATTGGCTAGCTCGACTATTAAAATGTATACATACGTTAATCAATAAATATTAAGGCCTATAATGGTTTACTGAAAAGTACTCGTCGGCAATCTGGAAATTAAGTGTACTCATCGATTATGCGCCTACCTAACCATGTTTTTTTCTATATATGTTTATTTCGGCATAGTTAAACGAAAATAAAAAGAGTATTACACTACACCATACTTTTACATCCTTTTGTGTTTTTATTCCATGAACAGTTAACATTTGAACTTAGTTTTTGATTGATCAACGGTTTTAAGTAAATTAAATATTTAGAATAAAGTTTTTACTGATTTAAAAAGTTAATCTGCCAAATTATAATTTTAAAACCATTTTTATTACAATAAATAGAATAAAACTAATTTACTTAACCATACAATTATCCAGACCTTATACGACATACACAATACACATAATACACATGTGTGTATGTGTGCTATAAACGTATTTAACGACAACACATTAAAAATCCGCCGGTACCAAACGACTTTAAGGATATCCTAAACTACGCATTTAACACCGACCATACAGTTCTATATCGTAAAAGCGATGCTACTTTTTTATCACGTTCGGAATGTTTCAACAGCAAAATAGTAATTGCGTGTTATTATTATAGATAACATGGTGCTACAAAAAAAAAAAAATTGAATACATTTTGCAAGTGATATAGTGCAAATTGTAGGTCTTGTAAAGTCTAACATAAAACCGCGTTTGAAAATTATTCGCACCCTCAAATTTTCAATGTATTGTTAAAAACCATCAGTCTTGGGAATACTGATATTAGGTGTAGAACATTTGATGGTTTAAAAAAATATCAAACGCCGTTTTATGTTGGACTCGACAAGACCTACAACCTGTACTAGGTATCTTAAAAAATACAGTTACTGTAGCAGCGTGTTATGCTCAACTGTTTTGTTCACTGAATTCGCTTGGTTATACAAAATAAGATTTACTAAGCGCACTTGCACGGATTTTAATATTAATTATATGAATTTATCTAAAAAAATCGGGAACCTTGTGAAAAATATTTATTCATTTTAAAGCCGTTCTTGCGCAGAGAACCAAGATAATTGTTGTTCTTTTTATAGTTAAAACAGTTCTCAATGTTAATCGTTAAATATAAATTTACACAAACTAACCTATACATAATATTTAATATTGTATAATATTAAATAAACGCGAAAACGAATTTCTATTGGTGAATTACATTATTTTGAACTTATTCAGAAAATGTATGTAAAAGTTTTTTCTGACCTTACGGACTCATTGCAGGATACAAAGTTCACGTTTACAGTTCACAGTCCGCAAATTAGTATGTCCCAGTATTTCTGTGGCCGCGATACCACTGAAGAATCTGCAATCAGAGTAACAAACAAATCTCAAAATAAAATATTATTCCACAAAAGCTTCAACCAATAAATTTATTTGACGACAATTGTCGAATACAAAAATTAAGTTTTTAATTCCAATTTTTCACCCGGCTGCGGAACAGCCAGGTTCCCATTTTTCGTTTAAACTACTAAACCGATTTCGATAAAATAAAAACTAAAATAATTTGTAAATTCTTAGGAATGTATTTCACTAAGTTTAACTAACGGGAGATTAAATATAGTTTCGTAAAATAAAAAACGGGGGAAAACAAGAACTGTTTTAATAAGAAAGAGTGATGTTAGGTTTATGCTATTTTAGTTTTAACGTGATGCTAAAAATATACCATCATGTGATTTTTGTTAATCACAATTATTCCATACAAATTAGTTTATAGACTTCTCAATCGCTTTGTATATAAATCTATAGCTTACGAAAAATGAAACACTTTTAACGAACTTTTATATTTGTTATCAATTAAATAAAAACGTATAGATACTGCGTCACATCTATATCGATTCAATACGATTTAAAAATGTGTAGATTTAAATTCTTTCATAAATAAATGGTTTGAAAAATTATGGAAAACGAGTTCTATGTTTACTGACAAATTTATATGATCGAATCGCAACCCTAGTCAAAATGACGTAATTCAATCATCCTGCCAGATCTAATCTTATATTCTTCAATATTTTACTTTGAATCGGCATTATCTTTAATGTTAGTGACGTCCATATACGCGCAAACACGTTTCTCTTGATAAGTTCAAAACTAACGCGAACAAAACATACATTACTTTTAGTCGACTGGCACGAATGCTGTGCACGTTGAGAATTTTTCGTTTGCGTGTGTTTGTGTGCGAAAATGCCAGCTTATAGTCTAAAGGGCATAACTTTGTGTCTGACCGGAATTGGGACTATTATTGTTGACCAGGTGATAGCCGTTATATCGATACTGTTCATCATAGTGTCCACGGTTGCGTTGACGCTCAACACTATGCCAGCACTGCAGGTGAAAAACAAAGACAATTTACCTCAGGACAACCCGGCGTTCGCTGATGTGGAGATGGTGTGCATCACGTGGTTCACGTTGGAATATCTTCTCCGGTTCAGTGCGTCACCCAACAAGTGGAAATTCTTCAAGGGTGGCCTGAACGTGATCGACCTGCTGGCTATATTGCCGTACTACGTATCACTTTTACTGTCACCTGAGACGAACAAGACGGACTCGCATCAGTTCGATGACGTGCGCCGCGTCATACAGATATTCAGAATAATGCGCATATTGCGTATACTTAAACTTGCTCGACATTCGACCGGCTTGCAGAGTCTCGGGTTCACTTTGCGCAACTCTTACAAGGAGCTCGGGCTGCTGATGCTGTTCCTGGCCATGGGTGTGCTGATATTCTCCAGCCTGGCTTATTTCGCCGAAAAAGAGGAGGTAGGCACCAAGTTCGTCTCCATACCCGACACGTTCTGGTGGGCCGGCATCACCATGACCACCGTCGGCTACGGCGACATTTACCCGACCACGGCCCTTGGTAAAGTGATCGGCGGCGTCTGTTGCATTTGTGGCGTATTAGTCATTGCGCTACCCATTCCGATTATCGTCAACAATTTTGCCGAGTTCTATAAAAACCAAATGCGACGCGAGAAAGCGCTCAAGCGACGGGAAGCGTTGGAACGGGCCAAACGCGAGGGAAGCATCGTGTCTTTCCATCACGTCAACTTGAGGGACGCGTTCGCCAAGAGCATGGACCTGATCGACGTAATCGTCGACACCGGTAAGTGTCCTGACTCCCGTGCTCTGCTCACGTTTCCTCGCCTGATTTTTATTTTATCCGGTCTTTCCAACTCATATTCCTCGTGTGTAAAACTATTCATACACTATGGGTTTGGTTCTCTAGCGTGGAACGCCTAACAAGCTTATTGCAATGTTACCGTTAATCAGAGACTGAAATCTGAACCTTGCTGAAATAATTTATAATGGAGTAAAATGATATATAGGGTGTTTTTATGAATATTTTAAAGAAAAGTATTTTTGGAATTGCGTTTCACTATTGGCCACATCCGAACTCCATATTTACTTAATAAATTAGTGATTAAAATCGGTAACAAAGGGTAATCAATTGTACGGTATTCCCACACGGTGAACGAGAATTTTTTTCCTCGCGTCGTCTGTCTCTATTATCCATGTTCACGATCCAAATCCTATCAGTTATTATTATTGATGTATACAACATTATAAGTTACCATCGCTAATCAGTAACATTATATTGTGGTATATAATATTTTGTCGGTGACAATAAACAATAACGTACTCGTATTATTTATAAAATATGTAAATAAATAAATAATTTGAATTATGATTTGTTGTTAAACTTAAATGCATTTTCAGAAAGCGACTTACCAAAGCTGTCTAAGCAAAATTCACTGCGATCTCACGGTAAGTCTAAGCTCATAGGTTTCTTACCATCTTAAATAAAACTAACAATAAGTATGACGAGGCGGCGGCCGGTAGGGGTTCCCGAAAAGAATCGTAAATTTAAATAAACCGTTTACTTAAATGTCAAAATATAATATTTTTAAAACGGATCGTTAAATTCATAGTACGTACCCGCTGCGTACCCAGAGGGAATACGAGCGAGACCCGTGGAAGTTTAAACGATTACGTGGTATTGTTTCGGTTCAAACGCAATGTATTATTGATAGCCTCAATGCAAGTATTTACATGTCAATTATCAATGCGGTTATACGGTTTACAAACTTTTAAGGATATTTTACGTTTAACTCACAACTTATTTACAAGGGAAACAAAAATATAACAAAAACTGAAAAATAAATTTACAGTAACATTCAGAGTTGGCCTAAATATAATACCGGGGTTAAATAAGAAGACAAGTGTTTTTTTATCGTTAGTTACGATTCAAAAATTGTATGTTTAATAAAGTTAAATTATCTTTGACTTTTAAAAAAAAATTAACACAAAAATTAAAATTTTTATTTAACGACATTATAACAATTGTATAGGTCTCTGATTAAGTCACTTGCAACTTGCTTATTTTTCTGTATACCTCGATAAAAACCAAAAAGGCAAATAAAACAGTTTTTCGCTCAGTTAATTTTACAATAGTCATTTTTGCCGAAATGATGATGTACGATTCTCACTAATTTTCAAATTATCCTTTCAAGAAGGCGATTATTACTACAAGATATTTTTTTTAATTATTCTTTCATATTTTTCTAAAAATATATTTACTGTACAGTTATTTTTAAATTTATACATAAACAAAAATAAACCTTTTTGTTTTTTTAGTGCTAAGTCCATTTTATAAGGAAATATTTTCAACTTTCTCATATAATGAATATTAAAAAAAAATACAGTTTAAAGGTAATACGTTCTAATGTATTAAATAGAAATAATACAAATTATAATGATAAACTAAAATATCCAGGGAAAATGATTAATTCCTACTTTTTTATTTATCATTAAGGTAAGTTAAGTAGCTGTTTGTATGTCTCTATTAACGATCGCTCATTATCTACATCACTATACACTGTTTAGCACATACGTTTTTCTTCATAAGTCTTTACTATTATATTTGGCCGTCTCGTGACTTTTGTGGATTCTATACAGTATGTTCCAAAATGATAGTTGCTGAGTTAACTTCGACCAAAATACTTGTAATAATTTACAATTGTATTGAAACAGCATATTTGTTTAATTTTTCAAGAACGGAATTTTCTTATTAATGACATTTATTATGTTATATTATTTTATTATATTGACGTGAAGTTTCACATGGATATTGGAAAGTTTGTAAAGTTATAAAAGGTCACTCTGGAACATACTAAAGAATATACTCTACAGATGATAATATGACTTATGTTATATTTTTTTTATACATAATTTTTATTTTGAATCGTTTTTATTATGTTCATTTTTGTGTTTGACCATATCTACGTATAGTGGGAAGCAATTATTCGCGTTATGAAGAAACGAGCAGTGGTAGTGAGACTGTGCCTTTAAATCCGGCGCCACCAGCCAAGGCAGGGGCTTCGACTAAGATGGAGGAAGAGAAGCAAACGTTGTTGGACATCGACAACCCGGAGCAGAACGCCAACTCTTTTGGGAAACCTTTTGAGAGCGCCGTGAGTACTCGGTGTGATTTTCTTTGCTTTTTGCTCGCTCCACTTGTCACCACACCCTGCCGCCAGCCAAGGCCGGAGTACGCGTCGCCAGAAGCCGTTGTATTAAGTGTCAACATCGAGGGAAAAAAACGATTATAATAATAATAAAACACATTTGTAAACTTTAGGGCTTTTAGAAAGTACACCGCCATGTTATATAATATACAGTGTCACTTGACTCTCAAATGCGCTTGAGTGTCATTAGTGCCGCGTTTCCAAAAGGTATCTCCATTAATCGTGTGAATTAATATTTTTCATATTAAAATTGCATTGGTACCGCACAAGTGCCTAGTCCATACTAATTCATCGCAATACATTTAATGCACATCAAACGGATAGTTAGGGGGACGTATTGCAAATTGCTGTGTTACAACTGATTTTTATTTTGATATGTACCAGGCTTTAAAGAGGTGCTAAAACATATTGTATCCGTTTATTTTATTCTGCAGTGTATTCTGTTTTCCACTTAAATGGTTGTTATGATAAGCAAGAACTACACTCATCAATACTCAGGAGGCTCTTGATAATAAAGTGACTATTACTAATTAACACTAAATTCATGACGAATCGATTTCAAAATGTGTTTATTAAAAAAAAATAGAATGATCGCACATTAACAAAATTAAAAAAATATATACTTTTTAAGATTACGGCTAACGGCAATTTAATTATTATTTTTTTTACGTTCACAAGACTTGATCATTTGTTTAATCCGCTTTGTTTAAATAATGCATGTAATCATCTAAATTCTATACCCATTAAACAAATATCTAAAATTCTAAATAAAATTCAACTAGTTAAAATGTTTGTATAAAAAGCGCGTACTCCAAACTGACTTTTGCACAGCTTATTTGGCTTAGTTTTGGCTTTTTTTTTATGAACATGTAAATGGTTGACCCTCAGATCGAATTTCAGTGTTAATAAAATAATTTTTTTACACCAAGAGGGTAGTCGCTAGCTCATCGCTAGTCATATGACACTTGAGACAAAAACGTTAATGTATAAATCGGGGATTAATATACAATTTAGTTAAACAAATTTTAAAAAAAGTCACCACCGGTTTTTAAAAATGGGTTACAAAACTTTACCTATTTTGTACCATTAGTACAAAGTTTAAAAAAAAAATTGTTTTGTTCTCCAAACGAAGTATAAATACAATCTTAATAATTTTCCATTGCGTCTGAAACATTTTAAGGGATTCAAATTTTAGAACTGAAGTAAGTTGTTATGATTTAGTAAAGCGAAATAATTTCGTCTCATAAACTTAATGTGTTAAATCGAAGTGTAACAACTTTCAACTTTAGACAACAATCAATATTTTAAAGCTGTGTGAATTAAGTCTTCTTTATCTTCGCATTACACTCCCAACTACATGGGATCGGCCACCCTAGTCCTACACCTTCATTCAACTCGATCTTCTACATCTCGTTCAATCACCCCAGCTATCTCATATTGCGTATATCCATCTTTTCTTCGGTCTTCCTCATCCTCTCTTTCCCTCTACATTCATCATTAAAACAACATTCACTCTCTTCATAGCCTTCTTAACCTATTATCTCTCATTTTGCCCACAATTGATGCATTTCTTAATCTATCCTCCCTTGTCACTCCACTCATCCATCTTAGCATTCTCATCTCTGCTACACTCATTCTCTGTTCAGTTTTTTTGTCTACTGCCCAACATCCCGACCCATATAACATTCCTGGCCTCATTACCGTCCTATAAAATTTACCTTTCAATTTTATAGGCATCCTCGTGTCACACAAAACACATTATGCTCCCCTCCACTTGATCCATTCACAATTTGTTTGTACTACCGATCCTAAGTACTTGAACTTAACAACCTCATACACTTCATCATCAAATTTCAAAAGACATTTCTTTAGTTCTATATAATAAGTGTTAAATATATATAAGTTATAACATAATTTTATTTTATTGAAACATATAATGACCAAATTGTATTATATTATATTAACTTTGAAATTTGTTTTATATTGTGTTTGATAATTTTTCATTTATGAATGCTAGTGTTATGTTTTTTCTTTTAGGCCAAAGTGGTCGTGAATTGTAAAAACGTCAAATTAGACGAAAATTTCAATGAGTTTGCATGTTGCTCTTGTAAACACAAGGTACAAAAATTCATAACGACAGTTATAATTGATAGAATATATCAAGGGCGGCTCCAGAGACTTGGTTGGGGGGGGGGCTAAGTCATAATTTCCAGAAAACTTTATAACAAAAAAAAACAACAATTTTTACAACACAAATTCAAGCCGTCTATTTTTAGTTTCACCAAAAATATCAATAATATGATCTATTTGATCTAAAACATCCACTGTATTATACGCATTAATAAGATATAATGCTGTTAGTCTATCTTCAGTTATCCTTGAACGAAGCCAGGTCTTAACACTCTTAAGTATAGAGAAACTCCTTTCAGCAGAGGCTACGCTTACCGGTAGAGTTGCTAATACTTGTATTAATGTTCTAATGGTTGAAAACATATCTTCATCACAGTGCATGTATAATAATATACACATTTTTGAAACACGGGCCTGGAGGGCCGCGGCTCCTAGCCCCCCTGGAGCTGCCCCTGGAATATATTGTCTAAGGTTTAGATAAGATTTATGAAGTTTATAATATTTGACATATAAAATAAAAATACAACAGCCTATATCAAGTACCTATACCTAATGTACAATAGACCCTTTATTATATATTATACCGTCGATAAATTATCATTGCACCGAGTAATTTCCAATTACTTAACATAACGTATTCATATGGGTATTATTATTTCCAAAGTACAATAGTAAACCTACCGCACAGGTGCCAGTTTAGAAGATAGAATATTAGTACTACAGTAAATTATAGTAACAACAAAATATACTCCTACTAGGTATACGTATACGTTTGCTTTGTTCCCCTTTTATTGATTTTTTTCTATTTCAAAAGGGTTGATGTATTTTTTTTATTGCATTTTAACTATACACACTCACGCTATAAAAACACAATGCTTTGAATGATTTTAACTACGTTTTATTACCATTTTAGTATTAGTTAATATACAAACATTTGAAAAAAATTAGTGCTTTTGTAAACGCGTTAATATAATGATTTTTTTTTTTAATCGTTGAAAATACTTTATAATGGACGTTGTCAATGTTCTGATGAACCGTTTGGTTGTAAAATTTCGGTTTACTAAATTTCCCAACAGCTAACGTCGGTGTAAACGATGAAACTTTTATATTTCACCGTCATGGTACCAATACTAATACTGAAGAATGAAACTTACATTAGACTTTATTTAATAAACCTGTCATTTGCGAATCGCAATAACCTTATCTTTTTAACCTAAACTGGAATTTCTATAACAACAACGGTAGTTGTTTTTTCAATAATAGCAATAGTAAAAAACACTATTTTTTACTTATAATATCTTGCTTTTAATGAACTGGAAAAAATAATTTTGATTTTAACGATACAGCTGAATTGATTGCAAACAGTATTACAACTTCAATATATTAAAATTAACCAGTATGCAATAGCTTAATTGGACCCATTATTATTTCCATGATATTCCATGATTTTACAAAAATTATCAATAGAAAATCTAGAAGAAATTTACTAATATCCATAATTCATATTAATAATTCTAATTAGAAAAAAATTGTAATGTGCTCTAAATTTATTACTGTCTAATACTTTTTGAATCTAACCTAACCATGGCTTCAGTATTATGTTGACGTTTCGGACTTATTGCAGAGTCTATCTTCGGAGCGATAGTTACTCTTCCGCTGTCCTGACTATACTGATATGTATACATGGAAAAAAATAATTTTAAAATTTAAATAGTATTCATAATAAAAATATTTAATTTACAATGGAGATCGAGCAATATGATCCACTTAAATGTACTAGCCTAAACAAATCTAGACGGAAAGTTCCCACACCGACAGGTAATAACGTATGCTCACACCATTGCCCTACACAAAAAATGGGTCTACTACACACAATGACCACGAGAGCTGTAAGAATAGCCGACAGCCAACACATAGGAAGAAAAAATATACTTACGGCATACACTAGCAAACATCAACAAAGCATTAAGGAAAGCGGAAAACCCCAATTTATCAGAAAATCAATGTAGAAAATGAAGATGGCAAGAAAGGAATAATATTATTGTCGTACATACAAGAGGTCACAGATCGAATCTTTAGAATAACAAACAAATTTAAAATAAAAATGGTATTTAAACCAATTATAATTATTGAATCATTATTCCAAATCTTGAAAGATAAAATACCAGAAAAGAAAACACCAGGTTTATATGAAATACCATGCCCATGTGGCTAGTCATACATTGAACAAACTGGAAGAGCGTTAGAGACCCGAATAAAAGAACACGAAAGGGATGTTGACTACAAAAAGAATAGACAAATCTGTAGTAGCCGAACATGCAAAAAACAGCGGACATAACATTCAGTTCGACAAAGTAAAAAAACTAAACAAAGAAGCTTAATTCCAAAATAGATTGTTTAAAGAAACAACAGAAATTTAAAAATGCCCACAAAATTACAATAGAAAAGATGGTTGGAAAAATATGAAGAAAGATATGTGTTTCGGTATTTGATAATAGAACGTACGAGTCACATAAAAAGTCCAACAGAAAATTACAAGGAGAAATGAGAGTAGCAGTCAATAATTTTGTAAACAAAAAACAGAGCATAATGACTGGGACATGAATACGGCAAAGCAAGGGTGTCGCAATAATAGTATTTATGATTATGACTGGAAATTGGAAAAGAAAATACCACGGGATTGCACTCAAAAGAAGCGGAGAGACGTCGTAGGAAAGGATCTGGGGATCTATGGGTACAGAATTAGAGGGATATAGTACAATATTGAGAGAAGTGAAAAGATTTACTGATATGCAGCGAAAACCTTTGAAAGTAGAAGAAGCCGGAAGAAGAATAAGAAGACCTACCTACCTTATAAAAACACACCTACCTAATATGAAGCTTTTATTTGATTTGATCATTATTAAGATTATTTTATTTCAATTTTAAATTAGCTAGTGAGTATTATGTTTTTTATAAATGGAAAGGACTAATCGATAAAATCTGTATTTAGTATTATTTAGCTCCGTTATTAATCACCGGATTGTGAAACTTTTAAGCGAATGTATTTATGTATGTAATTTTGGATATATAATGTTTTTCGGGCTTAGTGTTGGTTACGGCGTCATTCGGTAGAACTTTCAATTTTAAAAGTACAAAGGCGCCATGTTAACGACAATGGCTTAGAGTTACTAGATTACCCGAATAAATCAAACTGTGAGTTCATCTTTAACTCAATTAAGTTCGTCCAGTTATTTTTATATTATGTATCAGACACGTAAGGTTAGGAAAATGTATTTTTAAATTAGAAGCATGATTTACACGTTATATTTGAACGAATTTACATAACCTAATTTAATACATCCCACAAATTTTTAGTATTACTTACATAATTAGTTTTAACTAATCAGAATATGTTTTATTTTATTATTGGCATATTATGATTGATTTTATAAGCAAAATAGATACCTAACTACTCTAGTCTTATTCTCTGTCTTATATCCCGTATAAATTGTGTAGGCTACTAATCTTCATTTTTAAAATCTATTTATAATCTACTCCTTCTTCAGTGTAGTTTAATTATTAATCCATCGATACTTATTTAGTGGTACTTTTTATTTTCCCCCTACCTAATATTTCCAAACACCCACAATCTATTCTCCTCTCTCATTATTCCTGCTATTAGCGCAAATCATTGAACACATTATAATTTTAACTTCTTCAATTTTCTTTCAATCCATTTTTTTTAGTCATACAAGTATAGTCAAAATAGAAAACAAGAAATAAAAGTGTCATTTTTTCCCACGTAGTATTAGGTTTAGCTTGATGTAAAGCACTCAAAATGTATGTTATAGATTATTTTTTACGGTATTAATTTGCAAGGGTTTTACGCATTGTAATTAGTATGCCGAATTTTGTTGACAATTTATATTTATGCATAATGCATTTTTTAGAGTTAGAATATTAATACATGAAACAAACAGAGTTTTCCATTATTTTAACCGGAAATCAGAGCTTGTCCTGCAAAGAACGTTATTTTTTGTATCACAGACATTTGTCTTTGTTATAATATTATAAAAGCAATGGATTATAAGAGCGTTTAGAGCTAATGCTATTACTACTGTCAAAATCTTTCCATTACAGACTTTTGACAATGCCATTAATTTTATCACAATATACTGATAGTGCACTTATCGTGTTGAGTGACAACAGTTAACGTGCATTTATGATACGTCAATCGGTAAATGTAGGAACGACAGTGATATTCATTAAACTTTCATGCACCTATAAGTAGCCCTCTCAAATGTATTATTAGTCGCTACCACTTCAAACAATAGTACGGTTTATCTTTTAAAATTTGATCTAGTACAAGTAGTGTGTTTAAGAGAAAGAATGATGACAGATACGTAATACCTAAGCACCCATTTACACATTTCACTTAACTTTTACTTGTTTTTAGTTTTAAATTTTACAGCTTTAATAAAATCATAATAATTTAATATATATGTATTTTTTTGAAGACCACAAAGTGACTTTTTAAATAAAAATCAAGAAATTAAATATAGCTTTTGTGTAATTTTATAATTTTAGTTTATGAGTAGAGTTTGGTAAAAATTATATGTTTAGAGGCTGTGAGCATCTAGAGCATCAATCATCCACAAGATACAATAACAAATATGCTATGCTCCGTAGTGTGAAGTTTCCGATATTGCTTTATGTTCGTGTTAATTTTACTTGATCCTGTTATCAATTCATAAAGGTTGTACTGTTTAATGATAAATCATTATACATTTTCAATAGGACAATAACAAAGACAAGAAAACATCATCATTTGAAACGTAAACACACTAAAATAAACACTAACATGTATACATGAAGTAACGTTCTTTAAACAAGTGTACCTCGTTTTATCTATATGGCAAATCATTTATTTGTCATTAGCAACACATTATTATGTTAGAATTTACTTTACAATGAAACTGATAAATTGATGCCGTCTTGTGATACAGGAAGTCAAAGAGTACTTGGACGCGGAACACTCAACTCCGTATCCAACATCAGACGCTAAAACACCATTGAACGTGGAGATGCGAACACTTAAGCCGGATGGCGAGTCGCCAGTGTTGCGATTGCCCCGCAACGAGGTGGGCAGCGTGGACAGCTCGGACACATACATTAGTTGCAAATCACAACCATTTCATTCTCAAGGCGACTTGACTACTGACGACCTGCACGATACTGTATTCGAACACCAAATCGGATCGCAACAAACTCAACAACAGCAGCAGCAGCAACATCAACAGCAAAAGCAGCAGCATCCGCCACTTCAACATTGTCAGTCGGTCGGTAACCAGGGAGCAAATATCGACAATTCAAACCTGTACGTAAACCCTCTGGAAACAACCAGCGACAAAGGGAGTGGCACCCCACGGAGTTTGGGCACTTCACCGATGGAAGAATCCAAGGAGTTCAGTGGTGGCCGTGCGGCGTCTGGCAGCCGAGGCAGTCTCAATGAATCTGCCAAACAGAGGAAAACCAGATTCTCACAAGTAAGTGTCATTCAATTGAACTGCCATTTATGTTCCCCTCCCGAAAAGGAACCCAACAAAATATATTTGATTAAAGATTTCCTCGATAGAAGATTTAAGTTTAAGCCGAAGTTACCTTAACACTATTAAATAGTCTTGCGTCAATTTTATTTTTTTATACTGCTAAAAAACTAAACTCCTGTTCCTTTTAGGACTTTGGAAAATTATTTTTAATCGTTTATCAACAGAATAACAAAATTTTAAATACCTATGCTTTCATTATCCTGTTTGAACTTTGGACCAAACTTCATGCACATACATTTTTAATTAAAAACAAAGAACGTGTTTTAACGTTACATGTGAAGCATTTTATACGTGCGCATCATTAACAAGTTTTGTTCGAAATTGTATAGCACATTTTTTTGAAAACCCAAATAATATTATATCATTTAAAAAAAAATAACATTACAAAAATAGTATTTCAAAATATTATAGCCCAGTTATCTGTAGACTGTACAGATCGTGGAAGACTGGTTGACGAGAAATCTTATTTATTTTTAATTATTTTCAAGGAACCTGAACAGATTTTTAATTCTCCATGTATAGAGTTAAAGAGACTCCAGACTTGGCTGTAATCTTATCTGGATTACCGGTTTTTGTATTAAAACATTTTATTAATCCAGTTGAATAATACGATAATTGTTTTAAATATACGATATAAACCTAATTTCATAAAAGGTTTGGAACAGTTAATATTATAATTAACCTGGGTTGGAAGAAACATTGGAACTAACTAAATCCGATAGTTCGGATACTTCAGGAAACCGGTTTTTAGTTTATCTCTAATTATTGTATTATACTATAAAATAGTTAGAATATTCTGTTACGAAATTAAATAAATCGAGTTTAGATGCAGGTATAATTTCTTCGTTTTTTTAACAGCTTTTCTGTTTATTGTGTATTTTAAAATGTTTTATAAGAACATTATATGAGCCATCTAAGCTGACAGACTCAAGAACTTTTTATTGAATTCTAGGCAATTGACTTTTGATGCTTTGAGCTTTTTCGCAATGACGTTTTAGTGCTTTCACCGAGAATAAATTGATCTTTTCATCGAAATGAAGCCCGTCAAGTACCGAGAACTTTTAGAAATCAAACACTCATCCACGAGTGTTTATTTTTCCAGCCTGGCGGATATTTGCAGTATAAGAATTACTTTTGTCATGTGAAAATACAATAATTAACCGACAGGCTACGAGTATTTTATTTTTGTAGAAATATAATATACAGACGACTTTTATAATTTGTTTAATAATATAATTTAATTATTGAAAATGGCCGCACAAAATGTTGAATAACATTTACGTATCATTATGGCTTATGTGGCTTATGGATGAAATCGCCAATCGATAGATTATTTTTTTTTATGCGATTGGACTATTTCTAATAGGCGGTTATACGTTTTTCGATGTCGGGTGTGGTTACAACATTTTACTGACCTCAATTGAAGGACAAACGCAAAATTTGTTTGAATATTATAAAACATTATTATGGTCGTCGATTTTACAGAAGAATTTTTCCTTTTTGTGTTATCTTTTTATACTTACAATTGTACTTCTATTGTGTACAAAAACCATTTGAGTTCTTAATAAAATTCTTCTCTTGCACGTTATATTTTCTATTAGGACATTAGGTACGAGACTTCAAACTAAAAATGCATGTATGTAACTGCAATTATGTTGTTTAGATATAACATAGAGTTTCCACTCTCCTTACATAATTACTAATTATAATGACGACTTTTAACCTTAAAATAGCAGAGCTTATTGTAACTGAATCAATTATTTATTTATAATAATATATATATATATTTTTAAAATCTTACTTTAGTCAAAAGTTATTAGAATATACAGCATATATTAAAAATTGACACTCTCTCAGGAAACATAATATTAATATAACATTGTAACACATACATTTCAATAATTTGGTTATTGACATTTATTACAAATTACTGGTTCGTTTGTTGAATTTTGCAATAATACTACTTGATATTAAAACTGAGGCTTAACCTTTTTTCTATTTAGATATTATCGATAAAAAAAAACTTTTAAAATGTATTCAAATGCTATTTTTTTTATTATTCGTTCAATTTTCGTATGATAATTAAATTGAATACATATTTTCAATTAAGATTTTTTGGATTTTGAGAAAATCAATTCGGATTTGTTCGGTTAATGCGCTCAGTCACATAAAAGATACTGCAGTATATTTTTCCGAGAGAAGACGCCCAGTTTCTATAGTTAAATCTGATTTTCCCTTCTTTCAATAGAAACGTTTTTTAATGTGCAGTAATATCACAGACGTAAAAGGCTTTATACAGAATATTATATTATATAGTGTATGTATAAGAAGAGATAAATATATTTATAAAAGTTACAGAATTTTGCACTGCTATAAATGCATAACAAAAAAAAATACATGTTAAAAATTTATAATTCATATATTATACTATATTGATACTACTATTTGGGGTTTAGAATTAATTTGTAAGTAAAGTCTAAAAATCTAACATGTTGTCCGTACCTTAAATTCCAAATATTCTTTTTCATCTGGCTATCTATTTTATAATGCGTTTGCTGCAATTGTGCTTACCTCCTTATTGTAGTTATTTCAGTATACAATAAGATCATATATAATAAAACAATATTTCCTGAATGTGTTAATACTTTCTTGGAGTAAACTATTCATTTGATGACTTCTGGCTGATGTTTCGAGCCCATTGCAAGGTCCATCTTTAGAGACTGTTTCACTGTCATGTCGCGACTGTACTTTACATTTAAAACAAATCATATTAAATCACATAGTTATTGATTTATGCTTTAAATCATCAATTTATGTACTTATATATTTGTTTCGTCAGATTATAAATTAACCTTTTTGAAAATCAAACTTTGTGATGTTTTAGCAATCAAACGTGAGCGATCATCTGTTTAGTCGTTCATCTCAGGAGAGTTTGGACGGCGTGAAGAAACGGCGACCTTCGTTTGGGTTATCGTCTAAATCGCTAACCACCGCCACGAGAATAATCAATCAGCATTTGTTCAATTTGCCCTTAATATCTAATAAATCAGGTAAATATTTGGGAAATTACTGTCATAAAACCGTTAGATAAGGTTAAAATGATGATTTTAATTTTAATATTATATAGTTAGCCGAAATCCGCTCTCATTAGAGAACTAATTATAGTTGTTTGTAAATATTATTAATTGATTTAGATTGCGAAACAATTATTATTGTTTTGGTTAAAAATTAAGATCTTAGTAAAAAAATGCATAATATAATTCAAAGTTTCTGCATTTAAAATAAACTTTTCGGAACTATCACTTAAAAAGCACAAATCTGTTGGTATACATGTAAAAAAATTCATTTAATTCTTATAGCTGTACGATTATTGAGGATAATGAATGTACACTATCCACAGGGTGATCCATCTTTTGTAAGACTCATTTTCTACTTCATTTCTTATACGTAAAATAAGTATTGACGCCGTTTTTCAAATGGAAATATATGTTTTTAATTCCATTAATATTTAGACAATAATTTTTTTTAAATATTAGCGTTTGAATTTTTAATTTTCATCAATTTTTTTGTTTGCTATGACTCTAAAAAATATTAAATTTCTCCTTACAATAATTAAGTTCGGATTTCCAAAATTTAGTAGCTCATACAATTCATATTTATCAATTTATGTTCGCCTTGTCCGACAGGCGAAAATACCGATAGCCGGACACGATGAAATAATTTGAGATAAGGATAGACAATCGGTTCTTATCTACCAGACTACCTATTCAAACACAATGAAGGGATTTTCTGCTCCCAAACATCCTTTAATATACTTATTCCTAATTCGCTTTATTCTAGACATTCCACATATCCATAACAACAATCTCATTTCTAAGGAAGATGGAAGAATTCCTTCCAACTATTTTACTCAATTTCCACACATCATTGTTAGCCTAACTTTTAGTTATAGACCCGTTTATAAAACTTATATTTTACCCTAAGTATAACACAATATTTATATTACACAAGTCACAACCATTCTGTTATTTAGTTCTACTTTATCCAACTACACTGTATTCTTGACACAAAACCTTCTTCAATTTCTTCATTATTTTACATAACTTAAACTTTTAAATTGAGCTACTCTATTTAAAAGTTCTCCCTCTTTTTCTAACAGAATTCATAAATACAATATATAATGTTCGAGTTATTAGTTTAGTAGACAGTAGTACATAGTGAAGCCAAGAATTTTCCACCAAGTGTGCCGCTTCATTAGATTGGGAGTCCCAGCCCAATAACATAACCCCATTAGATGCCCTGATGCCCAACTTCCGTCTTTTGCAGACATTGCGAATCATGGCTGACTATTATTTAACAATGAATTTTAAAAACACAGAATTTTTCTTACTAACAAAATTAACCTATAGAGTTTTTTTTTAAATAAATTATGTTACATGTTCACAGGGAAGAGCGGCAAGTCCACACCGTCCGCTTCGGTCGAGTCGATCAACCGTTCCCCAGAAAAGCACCAGCGGTCAAAGTCCATTCTGAAACGGCACCAAAACCAGGTACCACCACAGGCACAGGACTCGTTGCAAACGTCTGGGCCCAACGGCGGCAAAGTCAACCCGGTCAACCACAGAATAGGCATCCGACGGATGACGCACGTCGACCCGGAAACCGAGAAGCTGATACCGGACAACCTGTCCGATTGTTCGCCGGGCAAAGTCTCCGGACAGCAGCGAACCGGCAACACCGGAACCACCGGCGTCGAGGTAACGCTGCTACAGGACCTCCTCCAGGATCAGTCTGCAATTTACATCTGCCCGCCACCGCCCCCTATGAACGACGCAAATGACAACAAACATTACTCGTAGCTGACCGTCCGTGTTGTCTATAATTACACGTTCTACATACCTGTTTGTAGTACGGAATAGTTAACAAATTTGTATTTTAGTTGCCATAACAATCAGTCTGTCATCAGACAATAAGTCCCGATGCGGAAACGGTGCGTTTAGTTCGCTGATGTCCATTTGATCATTATAATTGCCACTTTTACTACTACACTATTACTACCTACTACTATTTATTGTTATTGCGTTATTACATTTGTAACTTTATTACGCGGATCAGACGACGAACCGTTTTTGCAAGAAAACACTTGCGATAAACGACCGTGCTCGTCTTGCACCCACTCATACGTAATAGCTAAACTATTAGCTAAAAGCACGGGGCCTTTTTAGACGGCATATTATTATTAATATTATTGAAACAACCGTTATGTTAAAACATTGTTTTTGACGCGACTCTCGTTTTTCTTTTGAAAACGAGACGTTTGTATTTTATTAAATCATGAGAAATGCTCATTTTATCATCATCATTAGTTTAAAAATAAACAAACAATTATTAGTATCGATGGGTTTAATCTTTTACCGTAGAATTTAGATGTTTGTATAAGAAACGCTTCTTTTTTAAGCTTCTGATCAGTAAACTGTATCATAATATCATCATCGTCGCAATCATTAGAATGTACTAATACCATCGTCATCGTTGTTCGATTTTTACGCCAAACACAAATAAATTAAACACTATGTTAATTTTCTCAATACATACCCCAACCCAACTGAACTTATTCATGTATAAATTATACGACCTGTCTATAATATGTAATATGCGATATTTTAGCATACATAATATTGTTATAAAATATAATATGTTCACTTTTAAATCACCGACCGATATCTTTGAATTTTTTATTTCGTAAAATATGTATATTGTGACATCTATCTATAATTTTTTTTTAACGTTTATTATCATTGTATAATTGAAGACTGGAAAACAAACGATATTATGAATTGATACAAACAGGAAATTAAGCATGCATTTTGCACTAGCCTTTTATAATTATTTTAGTTTTAATATAGATCATAAATCATAATAATATATGTAGGTACTTTACACTCATTATGCACAAAAAAATTAATTATCGCTAAGCAAATCCGTTTTTTTTTAACGCGATCTCAATTTTGACTTTAACGTAAAAAAAATGTAATCTAGGTACGAATGAAAAAATAAAAGTTTGTGTGATTAATATTTAGGATGAAAGCAATACTGTAGTGAAGTAACTTAATATATTTTGTCGACATAATTAATCATGAATAGTATTTTTTAACAAAACGATGTGTACTCATTGACATTAACATTTTGTAAACATACCAATCACTAACAGTAAATACTTTAAATAGTAAATATAAGCCAATTACTTTTAAGTGCGATGAGCACAAATTTTTTTTATACTTAGTTCGATCGAAACAAATTGTATTATTTTATAAACTAATAGACGTTAATTGTATTTCAACAAGAACAAAAGTTACAATTTAATTTTTTTAATTCGCCTGTGATTTATCTTTTGTTAAGTTTATAAAAATACGTGTATTATTATATTATGTGCAACAATATAAGAAGCAATGTTATTAAGCATTTAGTTAAACTCATTGTCATATTGATAATTTATTTATTCCAAATTTATTTAATTTATCCTTAGTCCTACACTCCAATAATATAGTATATACTAGTAAATATTATCTAATGTAAGCAACAATAATACATACTTACTAATGTTACTAACATTTTACTATAATTTATTTTGTCATTAGGTACTCATTTAAGTAAACTAACATAAAAAGACCATGAATATCCTAAAGTTTTAATGTGAAGAAATATTATTAATTTGATAGTCTTCGGATGTATCTATGTCTTTGAATTGTTTCTGCCGTTTTGGACTTATTGCAGAATCCATTTCAGAGTGGTAGTCGCTGTTTTTCTGTCACGACTCTACTAAAAAGTTAAGAAAAATAAAAGCTTTAACACAATGATGTCAAGACTACTAAAAGGACACGAAGAAGATATGCTGACATTCTATCCCAGAAGAAGGCCAAGCTTCTTTTCCGATTTATCATTTATAAATATATGCAGAGACACAGGAAACACAAATTTAACGCCAAAGTAAGTAATATCGGTTCACCCTAACCGTAGGACACACTGGAAGACGATAAAATGTCTATGGCCGGTATCTCTTAACCTTTTGAGGTTCAAGACTAAATCACAGCTAGCGGTCAAACCCACACTAGAACGATAATTAGCCAGTATCTCCTAGTGCGATTGTTAATCAATATTAGGGGCTATACTTAATTATGATTAAATCTGGACTATTGGTTACATCTGTAATATAGACCCTCAGAGGACAGAGATTAAGGACTACCTATATCCAAAAGTGATCGCTTATAGTTGCCCCCGTGGCTCTATTTAGAAGTGAACCGAAAATACGTTTAATGGGTAAAAGTAAAGGTAACGCTTTGAAATTAAACACATACAAAATAGTTAAGTATTTAAAAGCAATTGTAATGAACATACAAAAATATAAAACATCGTGATCGTAGGACGCACGATTAACGAATAACGACAATACAAACAAGGGTCCAGATAAAATTCCAGGAATTGTTCCGAGAGAGTAACACCCGAATTTCGTTTCGTTTGTCTTAAACAGTAAACACAATTGGAATAATTTTGCTTATGCTAAATTAAAATGATGTAGGGCACATAAACATAATGCTGAAATAGTGTTTTTGTTGTACAGATCAATTACATATTATAGAATATTTAAACGCTGTTAAAATAATGTAACGCTTAATTTATTTTCCCACTGTTATATTCCACTACATGCTACAAATTAAAAACAATAAATAATTCACATTTAGGTAGATAGGAGGAACAAACCGATTTCATAAACACAATTATAAAATATGCGGGTAGCAACAACAATAAATAGGTATAATATAAAAAGGAAATCCAAAACAGTGTTGTGCGGCCTATAACAAGTAGGTCAGAATCGGCTTTTTACGATAAATCACTTAAAAATTAATATGATTATTGAGTAGAACTATATTATACTTTTTTTTTGAAACTTGTTTTTTTAATACTTTGTGTAAACGACTTATTCTTAAATTCTAATATGTTAGCTAAAGAACAATAATTAGATGATTAGATAAAGAGTATATTTACGACTAAAATTTTTTAGCATTACATATTACAATAAAAATAAAATAACTACTCTTTGTTCCTAACTTTCCAAAACTTAGATAAAGTAGAAACTTCATTGTAGCAAGATAATTTTAGCTTTGATGCGAAATTGAGGAGGTATGGTTTTTACAATATAATTATTGTTTTGTATTTGAAAACGTACGATATTTTCCAAAACGCTACACCGGTTTCTTCTTGTAGCGAGAATATAGATCAGAAATCCAGCCTAAATGGTACTTTATCAGGCAATACATTTAAGAGTTTATTTGAAAGTGATTCTATCGCATTCAATAATAAATATTACTGAAGACCTGTGATCTCCCCCAACCCCAATATGCTCCATCCTTACTGTACTGGCTTTTTTTTTTGTAATTTATATAGTTGATTTTAGTTATTTTGAATAACTAAAATTAAAACGTATTATGGTTTACAGCGTTTTACAACTGTCAACTAGTATTCAAAGTAACACATTTTAGATAGTAAGACTTTTTACCTTTTAAATAATAGTGTTCTTAAAACTAACCTACTTTTATACATGCGAAAATAAAACAATACATTTCACTGTTAAAAAGTAACAGTTTATTAGACATTTTTTTTTTTTAATTACAAAAATATCAGGATTTTTTTTAAGCATACAAAAAATTTTAATTATTGGAATGTATACAAAATTGGTTTGATTTATGCTTTCAGTAATAAATATTTTTTAAAAAATATGTTAGGAAGGTTCAAGTTTTTCAAAAACACAAATTTATCACAGTTATGTAAATGACTACAATCTAATATTAAACTAATGGCCCACATTCAAGACTTTTACCGACAGTATATAATATAGTATATAATATAAAATAAATAAATCTAATGGACGGAATTAATTCAGTGATGTTTAAGTACACAATAAAAGGAAAAAATTAAGTAATCGTGGAAATTTATAACAATAATAATAAGAAGAAACACTAATAATTAAATAAATATTATTATTATAAGTAAAAAAAAATTATTCAATGTCCTAAAACGTAGGACGGCTTTAAAGTTAAAAAATTATACAGCATTTTCTTCTGGCTTTTAAAGGGGCACCAACAATTACATCTTCGGTATCACCAGCAAATCGGTTAAATGCAGATTCAGAATCGGATGGCAAATCAGCATTGTTGTTTATAGACCCTGTAGCTGCACGTGTTTGGGCTCTCTGTTTTTTCAACTCGGCTAATGTTCCTGCGTTAATCGTCACCGAAACGTGTATATTGATTTTACCATCACTTTCTGTTGTATAGCAAGTTTCGGCTGCTGGAGCTACTTCAACTTTTTCTACTTGTGATTTCTCTTCTATAATTACATTTTCACCTTCAGGCTCATGGCGTTCACCAGTAGGTATATTGGGAACTATTGCAATTGGACTGTACGATTCCAGCGATGAATCACCCTCAAAATCACTAGATGCTCGAGCAGTCGTAGCTAAAAACTTTTTCGCAAACTAAAAAAACCAAAAAATAATATAAGTAGATGATAAATAAAATAGATGTATTGTATTTTTTTTCTATTTAATTACATTTGTCATTGTACTATTTCAAATAGTGTACTACAATAAAAACCTATAAATATGTAGACATTCATTATAAATTATTATAGATTGCTTATTGAGACAAATTTTACTTCTGTTCGCCAACACGGGACGGGCGCTAGTAATATAATTTTCACTGTAAACTATATTACTAGCGCCCGTCCCATGTTGACGATCATAACTAAAATTTGTCTCAGTGAGCATTCTATAGTAATTTATAATTAATAGTGTAAATAACATTCACTATTTTATTATTAAAAAACATTTTTTAGCTGAGTTTGCAACCACAAAAGAGCATTTTCATGTCTTGTTAAAGTACCGAATAATTTTAGATTAGTGGTGGAATTATAGATAATGAAATAGTACAGGGTGGTGGAGAATGAAAACTTTGGCAAGCGTCTCCAAGAATGCATCTCCATTCAAGGACGCCATCTATCGGACATTCTGTTTCTCAAATAATACTTTTTTTCATGTCCAATAAAACTTCCCTAAATTTACAACAACTTGTTTTTTGTTTCACCCCTCTAACTCAAAAATTAAAATTATGGCGCCCATTACAAATATGGTCTTTCATTCTCCGCCACCCTGTATATTAACAAGCAGTAACAAGCTAGTATCTAAATGTTAGATGGTGGCTAGCTAGTAAATATATCAAGTTTCTGGCTAATATTATAGTGTTTTCATAATATCTAACCTAAAGTAATTCATAGGAATATGACCTCTTAAATTACTGAATTTATTTTTCAGTTCTAGTTTGAACGTTGTGAATACAACATACATGCCCCCAACCCCAACTCCATTTTCCCCTCCAACCCCAACTCCATTTCCCCCTCCAACCCCATCCCTCATTTCTTATCTCTTATTAGATAACAGTGTAAAGCTTTTTTCATGACAATTTTTTTGGTTATGTGCCCGATCTAAGACATGAAAATGTCAATACATACTTCAATTTTACTACATTTAAATATCAATTACATTTTGAGCTTCAATTCTAAGCCTAGCTTCCTCGACAGCATCTTTCTTAGAAGTTAAAGTTTTCTCTCTTATTGAAGTTCTTCTGACAGACTGAGCTCTAGTGTTGTTTGATTGTGTACGCCTTATTCTCCATTTTTGAGCCTCTTTCTTAGTTTCCTGTTCATTGCGTAATTGTAATATACGATCACGCAAATCTGGATCTTCACAAATATCTGATGGCGTTTCATCATTTTTTGTTTTGGCATTTAAATCAGCACCGTTTTGTACTAATACTTCCAACACTTCTAACTAATATTTTTTAATAAAAATAAAAGATATGTTTAAATCGTAGTTATAACTTATATATAATTCTGTTATTCAATTATTGAGTGCTTACATGACCCCAACAAGCAGCTGCATGTACTGGTTGCCAATCGTCAGAATCTTTAACATCTGTTGCAACATGGTGGTCTAACAAAAATTCAACTACTTTTAAATAGCCGTTAGCAGCAGCAATATGCAACTAAAATATAGTTAGGTTAAATAAAAATTACAGTTCAACAAATACAAAAATAATGTAAGCTTATAATATTATTACAGGAGTCGCTCCTTGGTGGTCATATGATTCGAGCAAATAAGTCTGGTTATCTTTGACTGCTTGTTGTAGTTCTTTTAGCATTCGAGATTCAGTAGTAGCCCGTGTATTATCAATTAATTCTTGAGTCACACCGCGTCTAGCCATTTCACTTTCTATCAGATCTAATGCAGATTCGTCCTCACAAATATCATATGGCATGTTGCCATCAGCGTTAACAGCAAGTAGATTAGCTCCCCTGAAAACAAGAAAGTTACAAAAAAGGTTTTTAAGGAGCCTAAAAAAAACATACTTATCGATAAGATATTTAATCAGGTGCAAATGAGCACATGTTGCAGCAGCATGTAAAGGAGTCCATTTTTCACTATCTTCAGCATTAACATTTGCACCAAATTCAACTAAGAGTTTCATCATTTGTTCGTTGTCATCAATACAGCACTGTACATTTTTTTTTTTTATTTAATCATAAGAAAAATTACTTAATATAATACAAGTAGTAATATAATACATATTATTTTAGTCAAGTTTTACCTGGTGCAAAGCAGTTAGACCGTCTTCATTTGTTGCGTCTGGGCTGACTCCTTTGACTAATAATCTTTTAACTAAAATATAATATTATTTTTATATTTTTTAACATTCGTTTTTTTTTTTAAATAAAGTTTAGTGTACCTTCGTCAATATCGTTTCGGGATGCAGCTTCTAACAACATAACGTTGTCATTGAAGAATATGTGTCTATTGTTGCGTGGTGGTGACAATTTCCTTTTTTCTCGATCTTTTTGTGACCATAGACGTAACTGCTGTACCCGGCGTCTTCTAGCTAGAGCCAGTCGGTCAGCTGTAGGCATACGCTCCAAATGAGCCATTTCCAACACAAGTTCTGCATGATCCATTGTAATTTCTCAATAAAAGCGTAGAAACTAGAAGTCCAAACGATCTTATTTCACCAGGTGGCTACCTGTGTAACGTGTGTATGTGACACAATTCCTTTCTACTTGTCTGATTTGCATAGTTCATACTTTCATTTAACTACGGTATACACTATTACTACTCTAAAAATAATACTATTCTAAAGGAAATCATACCGAAATAGTAGATTAATAATAGGTTTTCTTCTATAAGATTTGTAACTAACAACTATAACTAACATTAAAAATAAAATTACATTAAAAAACAGAATACCGTTGTTTTTTTATCACAAACACGGACACCACAAACTTGTTATCACGTCAAGTGTATTGTTTTTGGGGGTTTTTTTTTGTCTAACTAGACCATGAATATTTTGAATATACATTTTTGTTCGAAAAATAGTAAATACTACTAGAGGAAATTCAACTGATTATAATTTATTACATATTGTTAAACAAAATAAATATTTAAATGTAACGTTTTTCTGAAAATATGTAATTAGCAACTAGTTTATACTCCATATTATTTATGAAATCTAAATGGAGGGGCAGCTGAGTCCATTTAATGGGTCATGAATGAACCTACAATAATAAAAAATGTTTAAACTGATTAAACTCCTTGATACTTTGATAGTAGATTATAGTCTATAGTTTATGTAGCTTTACTATTGTAATTTGTAGTTGGTACATAAATAAATGGCACATAGTACTTGCTACTCTGTAAATCATCATTAATGTACTTGTAGATTGTTTTATCTTATCTGTGCTTGTACTATGTTAGTCATTTTTGATCATCAAGAATTTTGATATTCTTCCTAAGATAAAGTCTGTATTATCTTAATTATAATTGTTTATTTTATCCTTTTATAACTTGTGTAAAAGTTATTTTTTAATTTATACATTAAGTTCTAGTCGAAATTCTATTTAATAACTTAATTTTTAATTCTTTTTTATGTTAAAAAAAATTAACCAGCTGTTTAAATCAAAAAACAGAGTAAGTAAAATATTAAATATTTAGTTGTATTGAAAAAAATTAATTGTTGGTCAATTTAATTGTATATTGTTGCTATATATCATATTTTAAATTCTCAACATTTCGATAGACATTAATTTTTAATTTAATAAAGTAAATAACTAAACTACTATTTGTATTTGTTTAAGGCAAATTCATTTTATTTTATTTAAATATGAGTAATGCTACACAAATTATAGATCTTAATAATAATACTTTCTTCCATGAAAAGAATAGGTAACTTATGTGAATAAGTAAGCATTAGGTATATTCTTTTCACAAAAAGAAAAATTATTCAAATTTATTTTTTTTGCAGTTTTTAATAAAAAACAGATTAAATGTTCTATAATTAGATAATACATCTAGTGTTGCAATCAAAATTTTTGGATTTCACACTAATAAAAATATTATGAAATTCATCTATAACAAACTTCATGTTAAAAACTAGCTGTGACACTCAGTGGCGGCGCCAGGAGTAGGCCCCGGCCTACCCTAAAATGTAAATAATTTAATTCAGATTCATAATTATAATTTATAAGATTTTAAAATAAATTATAATTTCTTATAATTTATAAGAATACAAAAATATTGGGTACCAAATGTGTTCAACACTCAACATTTAATTATTTAAATATTGTTTTTTTTTTAAAAGGAATGCCTATTGTATGAATTTGTTGTATATGTGAATCGGGATTGGAAAATGTTAAATATTATACTACTCTTTTAATGTTTGAGCAATATCTTCTTCTGCATATTGTCTTTTTAATTTATTATTTTTTTTACTCAAAACTCAAAAGTAGATTACACCTTTGTTTTAATTTTTAATATAGTTGCTCACGTTATTATTATAAGACTCATTTCTTAAGTGGGTCAATAACAAGATAAGAATTTTAATCTTGAACTATAACCTTGAAGATTGATCCTTATTATTATGTTGTCCAATATGACCAACAAGCCTCACATACTCAATTCATTTTTATACCTTCTTTGGCATATAATGAGTTTATGTTGGAAATATTTTTTATTAATTATTATATAATAATAAATGAAGATTTATTACACTTATAAATTTCACATCAGAAAGGTTACAAAAAAAAAAAAAATTTAATTGATCAATTATGACTTAATTATATTGTCTAGGTCACAGTTAGTTAATCAACAATTACCCGATGTGTGGTAACTAAATACAACTATTTTATTTTAATCAAATAATATGCTAGTATTTGAAATTAATAACCTTTCCTTTCATATAAAATGTAATGTTAAACAAATTATTTTTTACATAATAAATATTTACCATATCTCAATTGTAATCCATTTTTAAGAATGATTAAATGTAGTTTCTATGTTCTGTAGTTAGATTGTTAATGTTGCAACAATTAAATTAGTTTCATCAGGTATTTTTATCTGATGTAATATCCACTTGATAATGAATCATTACCTATAATTTTATTTTTAATTAGAATTAAGTATATTTAAGCTGTTTTCTTTAAATTATCTGCCTTCTTAAAGTTGAGTTATTAAGATAAACCCTGCTTGACTTAAAATTTTAACTAGAAAAATTATTCATTTATATTCATTATAAGATAGTTCATTATTGTGCATGTTAGTTATTAAAATTGTCATTATAATTTTAAGAGTACATGAATTCTTGTGATAAAATAGTTACATAAAATTATTTACTTTTACTAATAGACTATGGCACCTTTACACGGTATTAATTTGCCAGCTGAAAAGGCAACGTTCGCAATGGGATGTTTTTGGGCTCCCGACAGTCTTTATGGATCCACTCTAGGAGTAATATCTACAAGAGTTGGTTATGCAGGTGGTGCTATTGGTTTTATACCAACATATAGAAACATGTAAGTCAAAATAAAACTATACAACATTTAAGAGCTAATAATTAATCAACTACTACTAAATTTAGTGGTGACTACACAGAAGCAATACAAATAGTATACGACCCTACAACTGTATCTTATATAAATCTTTTACAAATGTTTTGGGATCACCACGACCCTACTGCCAAATTTAAAAAACAGGTATCTAATAATATTTTTTTTATATTATCGTTTACTGTAACAATTGTACCGGAAGATACTTTTAACACCCTACTCTAGTTAACTCTTAAAATAATTGCCATTTTGTAGCGTTTCTTTTTGAAAACATTTTTATTTATACAATATTAAACAGTATTCAAATTTTCATATTTTTTAGTATTTTTTAGAGCTTTATCAACTTTTGAAACTTAAATGATAACATATATATTTTTAAATTAAGAATAATTTACTGAAAATGTTGACTGGTTGATGACCAGTTTCAAATAATTATTTTTAAGTTATTTAAGTTTAAAATTTAGGGAAGTTAAAAAATGCACGCAGATAAAATAACTTTACCCCCACCTTTCCTCCAGTCCTAAATTATAAACTTTAATAACTTTAAAACTATTTATTCAAAACTGGTTATCAACCAGTCAAATTGTTTAGCAAAATTTGAAAGGTTAATCAAAATGTATACGTATTTAAGTTTCAAAAGTTGATTAAACTAGAAAGTACTAAAAAAGATAAAAATTTGAATGTTGTCTAATATTGTAATATAGCATAAACAAATATTTTTTAAAAATAAAAACTACAAAATATCAATTATTTTGAAATAAAACTGGTGTAGGGCGTTAAAAGAATCACATGGTATATTGTACTATACTAAAAATACAGCATAATATTGTTAATTTATAATATATAGTTAATTTAATTAAATTGTTTTAGTATTCTTCATACATTTATTATCATAATGATCAACAAAAATTAGAAGCTGAATTGACGTTAAACGAAAAAAAATCCAAAGGTCTGCATATTCTTACAGAAATCCAACCTGTGGGACAATTTTTTAATGCTGAAGAGTAAATATTTCATTTAGTTGATTATATAGTTATATTATTGTAGTTGATTTATAATATTTGTAAACAAAATATAATCATTTTTTATATTATTTTTTAGCTATCATCAAAAATATAGATTGCAACAACATAAGAGCTTATGTAAAGATCTGGGACTTATTACTGGAACCGATTTAATAAATTCCCACGTAGCAGCCAGATTAAACGGTTATGTGGTCGGTCAAGGGGGAGTTGACCAGTTCGACATAGAAACAAAAACATTAGGACTAGATGAAGCGGCTATAAAATATGTTAGGCAGCTCGTGATAAAATATGAAGGACAAGGATTAACATGTTAAACATATTATTATTATGCTATTTTAAACATGAAATATTATAATGAGTGAAGTGAACTTAGTTTTTTTTTTTTTTTTTTTTTATGAAATTTTGCTTTGAAATTTATGATTGACAAAATTGGTCTAACTGCTATAATATGTATTACAATCGTATAGAATAACATACTAGTATAGGTTTCAATCACTTGTTAAGTATTAATATTGCTGTAAACTTTTAACATTGGTATGGTAATAGTTTAATTTAATTTACAGCAATACTGAATTGTTAAAAACAAATGATTTACCTTTCTCCGTCCATTGACCCATTTTTAAAGCTTGTGAATTGATGATTGTTTTAAAATTTACTCAATTTTTAAAAAACTCTAAAATGATGTATACGATTTTAAATTGAAATATTATAAAATGTAAGTGACCTTCCTACACTATTGTTATTTGTGGTTGTCCACTCCATCCTCTATTTTATTCATTACAAATAAACTTGTTCATAATCTTTATGTGTTCACTCTGCTACATTAAAGATTAGAATTATGTTCTCTTTAAAATTATATAGATAATAAATAATATGTACGCATAAATTGTTTTGATTAATTCATATTTATTAATATATTAGCCATTATATAAGATAAGTAATTATCTAATCCCATTGGTACCCTAGAAAAAGCCAATTTTCCGGAGATTATTTTACTTACATAAAATCATAATTGTTAATATTTAAATATTTTTAACTAAGAGCTAAATAAGTTATTTCAATTTTTTGACAAATATTATGAACACATGTAAAATTATAAAATACATTTTATTTTTAAAACTTACTGTTCTAAAATCTTATTATTTTGAGTTTACTAAGTTTATCACAAATATCCCAAATAGTAATAGTAGTAGGTGTAAAGTATTCTCAGATAAACCACATTTTAAGTTTTTACCTTAGAGTTTTTAGTCGTCTAAATCTAAATTCACATACTTGTACCCTGTTTTATCCATTGTATAATATTTGACATTTGTATTACGCACTTTTTTTCCATAATATATTTATAAATATTTTTTTTACAAAATTCAAATAAAATATATTGCATTAGAGTTTTTTTCTTATATATTATATTTTTTCTTATGTATACCTTACCAACAAATGTTAAATATATTGTGGTCAACATGTTTGACGACTTCAGTTAGGTGTTTGCTTTTATTTTAACATATTTTTTGTTTGGTAGATTTTTTTAGTTGATTAATTTTAGTTTTTTTTATTTTCTGCACAATATCAATTGGAAATAGTAAACGCTAAATGAATATTAAAATATATTTAAATATTCTTCCAATTAAATATTTAGCTACCAAAAAACCCTTGGATTTATAGTAGGTATATAATTTTTTTGATTCTATTATTACTCATGTACATACATTGCAATTAAACTATTTTTTTTTAATATATTTCCCTATCAAAACATAATACTTATACGCATTCTACTTCTAAATTTTCCTTATTTTATTATTTAAATTATATGCTGATATTGTTACTAAGGTAAACAAGTATTTCGCAACACGTTTACTATATGGGTACCACCTTTAAAGTAATGTATTTTTTTAAATATTTTATTATTTAAATGAAAAATAGAAAAAGAGGCAAAATGGTCGATCGTCCATAAAATTTTATTAGGTAAAAATCATTCTAATGTCAATTTCAATGCTTGATAAGGTTTGTACGGATTTATAATTATGTAAATTAAAAAATTATCCATTATACAGAGTCTGGCAAAAAACCTCCCCTATTTATAAATGGCGCTGTGTGAGTTGTGGTGGTGGTACAACGGAAGAGAGGGTATCGAGCAATAGCGGTATACATGCCATTTTCTCCGACCTGACCTAAACTAGTTTGCTAGGAACTATGATGAGCCACAGATCACACTTTACGGCTCTCCCTAGCAATCTTGAGAAAATTGTTTCCTGGACGTCTTCTTTCTCTCTTTGCAAGGAGACATCACCTGACCACCAAGGTCACCCGATTTAACACCTTGTGATTTTTTTCTTTGGGGACTTAAGAAGGCAATCACCCAGGCAGTGGCTGCCATGACACGAAGAGCTATGGCCTTTCCCGAAAGTTAAAAGTGAACGCCGCGAAGTGTGAGCTGTGGCTCCGTCTTGTTAGAACCAGACTTCTCTCTCATCATGGCTCCTAGCAAACTGGTTTAGGTTAGGTCGGAGGAAATGGCGTATATACCGTTATCGATCGATACCTCCTCCGTTGTACCACCACAACTCACGCAGCGCCATTTCTAAACAAGGGAGGTTTTTTTGCCGGGCCCTGTATAGCCTGAAGCTAGATTTAGTGTCATAGAATTGATATTTAGAAAACATTAGCACCCGAGCCACCGGATACCAGTACTCAAGTATCATTGGCAAAATGGTCATGTTGAATTCACAATCAAATTAACAATAGAATAGGCAAACCACAGTCTAACTGCTCAACAATCAACAAAAGATGGCGGAATAGATGGAAATACGGTAGCTGTGATGAACAGTACAAAGTATTTTTTGATAATTCTAATTAATTTTTATATTTTTAAGAAAAAAAATAGCACTAGTACGTAAAACCAATGTTTTTTTTAAATTAGATATCTCTTACTGAAATTGGAAGCTGAATAAAAAATAAAGTTAAGAGATAAATACAAATTTATATTCGTTAACAACTAGTAAAATAATTTTTATAATGCATAAAGTTACATAGTTCTCTCTTGGCGTAAGAAAAAGTTTTACTGTTGCTAGAAGTAAAAATTAAATACACTGTCATTCATATTATTTATAAATATACCTCAAAAAAACTATACATATGCTGCATAAAAGCTTGTTTTCATAATAAATGCAATGTATGCTTCTCTAATAAAATTTAAAACTATACTTTTATAAACAACACCTGATTTAACTAATATACAAACTATTTTAAGACAATAATTTCAGAAGAATCATCAAAATTATATTTTCAAATCAATCTTGCAAAAAAAAAAACACTGAAACAGTGCAACATAAAATAGAATGTCTATCTATATTAATTATAAAATCATATATTTTTAAATTCTAAAAAAATTACCAATAAAAAACAGTTTTTCATACTGTACTGTTTTACATTTACATAAAAAAATTTGAGCTTCTTTTTAATTTAATTTAATTATGCATAGTTTTTTATAAAAATTATTATTAAAATAGATAATTATTGTAATCTACTTAGAAAAAAAAATAGAATAATTAATAATAAATATACAAAGTAAAATAATTAAGCATCATAGTAATCAATACGACCACCCGAATGATAGTTTCTCATGGCTAATATATTGACCAGTTTTTGACAAGTATCTTCAATTTTTACTAGACCTCTCTGACGTAATTGTTGCATATTTTTACGAAGTTTGTCGTTTTTAGTGGTTGACATTTGTTCAACCATATCAGTTAGTACCGGTCCTGGAATTATGATTATTATTTCAATCATCAATAAGTTTTAAAAACATATATTTTACACTATCCCCAATATAAAAAAAATTGCCTTAAGACTATATTGTATATACATAAAAATGAATGTGTGTTTGTATGTCCTTTATGCATTAGTACACCATTCATCCGATCGCCATGAAACTTTGTGAAATTGTTGAGTACACTCCCGTGAAGTTAACTGACATAGTACTTTTCGAAAATTTCACCCCTAAAGTTGGCCTTAAACACAAATGTTGTACTTTAAATACAAAATATTTTTCGTTGCTAATCCAAAATAAACACTTTGTTTGTAACCATGGTAACCACGGTACTCGAGCGAATGGTAGGTGATGATTAAAGGAACAGGCCGATTCTGGAGACGCTATTAAACATTGGAACTGGATCTAGGACTTGGACCAGGACCGGGACTGGTACCATTGATTAAGAGAGGGACATAAACAATATAATGTAATGTACATATGTAGATCCAAAAAAAAACCGAGACGGGGTATGCTAAAGCTCTATAATACACAACCTGGAGTACTGAGTTTTTTTTTATCTTATTTGTAATTATTTTATACAGCCCTGGCAAACTAAATGCCGGGTCTGGACAGCTTTTTGCATATAAAACCCCCATTTGAATTACCTGGTGAATAACTGAGAATATTGATATTTGGATTTTCTATAGCTAAAACACGGAAATACATCTCTCTGCTGGCTTTACCGACACAATAATATCCAACTGAATGTGATGCTTGAATTCCAAATAAAGAAGTCATATTTACAATGCATTTTTCCACATTATCAGTATTAAACATGGCTAAAAACACACTTGTTAAACATGTAACCGAATACAAGTTTAAAGACATGTATCTAAAAGAAATAATATGGACAAATTTAATTAACATAGAATTATTAAACACATATATGGTAGCATAAATTAAGAATACTATAGGCAACATTTATGAAACAATATTTAACCATGACATGGTAAAATAAGAAGCATCAAATAAATATATTATGGGTATTGCCATCTATACTATTTATAATATTAGCAAATACTATTATTAAAATAGCAATATACTACAGTACATTATTATCAAAATACTAAAATGTATTATTTACTTATTCCATTCTTCGGGATCATTCATGTCGGCTGCAAAGTGATCTAGATTACCTATGGAACCAGCATTATGAATTAACAAGATAAGTTCATATTTTGTTTGATCAATGGGTTCAAGGATTTTTTCAAACATTAATGCATTACTATTATATAAATCAACACTGTAATACTGAAAATAAAAAAATGTATTATTCAACAAATCAAATTTAATAACTGAGCAAATTCTTTTTAATTACCTCAACAAAAATATCTTTATTTTCTTTACTTATCATTTGTTTGGTATTTTCGAGACCATTAGTATTTCTAGCCATAAGTATCATAGCCGATTCGGGCACCAACAATCTACTAATTTCAACTGCCAATGCTTGTCCGATACCTTTACTCGCACCAGTTAATATTACACAAGTTCGTCTACTCCAAAATTCATTCATCTTGTGTGTCGGGTTCAATAAGTTTTTGGGTCTCGACAGAAGATAACGGTTGTTCAGGGTTAATCCAAGAAGACAAACCAGAAGGTTCTATTGAATGTTCTGAATCAAACACAATGTCGTTGGAATCTACTAAATTCTCCAGACAAGCTTTGCGTGCGTCACACAACTGATCAATGATCTGTTTACGTTTTGATTGATCAGACTGTGATCCGTTCTTCAACTTATCTAGTTTATGTTCTAAATAATAAGTGTAAACAATATCGATGTCAATTGTAACATAATACATAGGTAATACCTCACAATAGGAAGTTCAATCATATTACATAATAAATGTGCACATGTAATACAATATCTGAAGGCTCATAACGTCATACATACCTAAACGCTGTAAGTATTCTTTAGTGTCGGGTAGAGGTTGGAAATAATTCGATTGTGGTGGATAAGTAGTGAAATCGTTTTCAAACTGAATGTCCACTGGGTCGTCCACAGCTGCCGTCGTACCGTGTACTGACCATGGATCTGGCGTCAGCGCAACTGAAGAATTTCTATGCAATTCCATTTCCATTTCCAACTTCTTAACAAATTACTGCATTAAGCAGTAACGTAACGTAAATAATAAGTGAACATACCTGCGCGTTCTAGAAGGCAGAAACATTTACACATTAATTATAATTTTGATAATCAATATTACACGTTAAATTATGTTATCTATTATCAACAAAATATATTATTCAACTGAAAAAATAATAATGCTGAATGCAACATACGTTGTACAAATAATACAGTCTGCCCAGTGCCCACAATTATTGTAGGTTTTTGTTATGGCACAATAACAGATTACTGTTCAATACATAATTTTACAGTATAAATCGTTTATAACAATCGGTTAAATTTAGTTAAAAACGCTGGCGAGGGACTTTGTATTGAGGCATAACAGCTTGACTGCGATTTTGAGTCGACTAGACTTTGTTATACGTGATTTCCACGGTTGGATAAGGCTAGTTTATATTTTTTATGACATGACAATATATTATGATAAGATATAACAATAATAATTATTTCTTCTTATTAGTACCTTGGCTATAGCCTATTCGTTACCCGAAGGAGCACACTTTACCCAATTTTTAACTCAAAATGCTCTTTAGTAATGCAAAAAAGTACGAAAAAAACAGCCGAAAGGGCATACATTTTATTTTTATATAACCCTAAAAAGCATGAAAATACAGCCTGAAAAAGAACATGTACAAATATAAATATTGATTATTGATAGCGTAGTACACTTATGTCACTTACATCAATTATGTCAATAATAATAAATATTTTTATCCCATACAAGTTTCATGTTTCAACATAACTGAATATTAACAAATTTTACAAAAATATAAAGCAACACAGTCCAGAGAAAACATGAAATAAAAAGGCAAGATCATGTTATGATTAAGCTTATAAAGAATGTAAAAATAAAAAACTAGATATTAAAATCTTTTGGGAGAAAAATGGATCTTTTCCAAAGACTTTGAATTAATTATTTCGTGTTTTATAAATTATCTTATTTGTTAAATTATTATTATTTTATTTACTATATTTTGTTATGTGTTAACTAAAATACTACAAGAATATAATATGTTAATGTTTGAATATTATGTACTGGTTTTGATTAACGGATAATAATTTGGTATGCAGGCGCAAAACTAGAGATACAATTTGAGGAGGGGGATCTATTTGAACAGAGTAAAAAAATTCACATGATTATTTCGAAAAAAACTACAGTAACCAAAATAGTTGAAATAATTATTATGTGTCAAAATAAGATAATTTCCCTTTTTTTCGACTTTTCTATGAATTGTTACCTCTTTTTTTTGTTTTTCTAAGCGTTTATATGGAAAACCCAGTACGTAATTTACATATTTTATGTAAAATTTTCTCAGGTACCTTAGTCAGTATCATTCGAAATCCAACTCTAGATGTATTGCTGTGGGTTATTTTATTATTTTTAAACGATCAAACCTAAGTTTCCTTATAGTTTTTAAATAAATGTGAAGGTCAAGTTTAATTTTTGGAGGAATTTGGACCCCCCCCCCCCGGATCAGCGGTGTGTGCCATTTTACAGATAATGTGTGCTCTTATGAGCTTTGTAATTTCAGGTAATTAAAATAAAACTGTGCTTTTTTCGACTGCACAGTACCTGTATCTCGAACGCGCTATGATGTTCCTATTAAATTACCCATTTCATTGTTACATAAAACGTATTCTATAAAAATTAAATTAAATTTAATAAATAATATGATATTATTATTACTAATATTTATTAAAATCTATGGCATTTGTGAAATAAGAAATTATTATAAATCTATTATGAATTATCATAATCGTACTATTATATAATCATTTTAATCGAAGGATGATCTAAGTATAAAACGCCACGCCTTTCATAATAGTAATGATATGTATAAATAAATTATCATAATTCGTTGATACTTTTTACCTGTACTTTTACTATGTAACCTGTAACACAAATTATATTTTATAAGTTATAACCAATACCGGTAATGCCCAATAATAATTTATAATAATAATATAATAATATACTCTGTTAATAATATTATATTGCTAACATTGCAATAATATTATATAGTTGTTGTAGTACTTCTTTAAGAACTAAACAGTGAGATGGGTAATAATAATTATTATTGTTATTATTATCAATACTGTTTAACCGATGTACCGGGTGATAGGTTAACTATGCCCCAGTCATTAATTAACATCAAAACTTAGACGATATTAGACTTTTTTAAATTGTTTTATTTTATACTTTTATAGTTATTAGTTAGGATCACTTTAATATATTTTTTAAAAATATTATCCCATTCCTTAAATGTTCAAATCGTATGAACTTAAGTTTTTTAAATAGTTTTTATCTGCGCTCATTACTCAACCGCACTTTTCCTCTCGTTCTAACTTTTAAACTTTAATAACTGAAACTAATTTTTCAAAACATAAGCACCGTTTAACTGTTTTTTTTTAAATCAATATTGGTACACGACCTTAGAAGCTATGTGAATCGCTAAATACAGAAAGGCCACATGTCCAATATTTTCCAAAAATCAATTTATTGCATAATCTAAATATGTAATATCGATAAATACATGATTATGTGCAAACGGGACACATGTCCTACTATAGGTATAAGTATCCGAAAAAAATGATGATAAATTTCGTTAATTGCAGAAAAGGCACATGTCATATTACATATGGATGAAATGTATACCTAATTATATATTTCTTCTTTTGTCTTTTCTGAAAAAATTAATTCGCACATGTGCCCTTTCTGTATTTAGCGATTCATGTACTTATACAATGGTAGGAACTAAGAGCGTTTTTGAGTATGGAATACAAGATGCGCAAAAAAATCATAACTTTATCTTCTTCATCAAACTGCTAATATTTTTACTAATGTGTATTTATAAAATGTAATTTATAACATATTATAGAACTCCCTACCACTGAAGTAGTCTTTAATAAAGACTCTTTATCCACAAACAAGTTTAATATACTGTCTACATTATTACGTAATGACATGTCTGATGAAGTTGGCTATCAAGGCCAAATTTATCTTGATTTTAGCTGAGAATAGGTATTGGATTTACATGATGCGATTTTTTTTTTACCTAAATTTTCAATAACAATTTAATTATTGAATACATTTCTTTAAATAACCGGTCTATTGGATCAAATTTTTGTTGGAATCGTTGAATAATCGAGATACAACAATATAAGCTTAAAAGAAAAAAATGTATTCCTTCCATTTTAAAGTCGTGAAAATGCCCTAAACATAGACATATTTACCAACTAAAAAATAAACGCCAGCACGATCTACCGGTTCATATTTGAACTACAAGGCATAAGCAAAAATATTGTTTATATATCACTTTGTAAGAAAATAACGAAGTTTAAACTTTTAGTCCTTCGATCACCACCTTAAAACGCTTCAAATATGGTCTCACTTTTTATACAACATAATATGGACCAGTTGTTAATTAAAAATGGTCGGTAAACTAGCTAATAGGTTTTCGCTAAATCATAACTTTATCTAGAAAAAACTTGAGCAACTCATGGTTATATATAATAAAATAATATTTAAAACACCCTTAACCATAAAATAATACACTCTCCGCGTATACGAAGTATAGCAGTGATAGCGCTGTAAATGACAACATTGTTCCCAAAATACGTTATTGTGTATAGTATGTTAAGGGTGTTTTAAATATTATTTTATCATAGTTTTATGTCAAAACTAAAGTGTACAATTTAATCGGTCATTTCAAAACTATACAAGTCGTAAAACTGAAATTTCAGGCAAACCATAAATAACTTAATTACTTCAGAAATCAAACTTATTTTGCGCTTTCACCCGTTTATACATTTATTTGTAGGATCATTATTCATATTTTTTTTAAATTGTCTACATTCTACTATGCTTTAATAAATAACAACTATTTGACTTATATTGTAATAGCAATGTATTGTGTACAAATTAGGCCAAAAAAATCAAAATTATATAGCTACCTAACAGAAGTTTTTAAATTGTATTATAAACAATGTAAGATAACCAGCGGGTCTGGTACTCATCTAAAAGGATTGGAGTGACATAAGTCATAATCAACCCCTTCCAGTTAAGAAAAATTCGAAAATTAACATTTTCCAGTGAAAAAAACCGATGTCAAATTCCTTGATTTCAAAGAACCCCATCTATAAAAAGTTACATACAAATTTGTACAATTGTTTAACAATTTAAAAACGTTTTAGTGGGCCGTATTTTTAAGTTGAAAAATATGATGGATTTTGGATGTTTTTCTCAATTTTGAAGAGTGAACTTTTACACTTTTGGCCCAATTAATTACACATCAGGTAAGATTTCTGATTTAAAAACTTCCTACATAAAGAAAATGGTTCAAAAGTTAAGAATTTAATAATAAAATAAAAATCAATTGTTTACATTAAATAAAAACTAATAAATTGTTAATTGCAAACTTTTAACAATTTTACAATACGAGTACTTTATATTGATAAAACAAAATATTATGGAAATAATGTATATTAAATGTATTTTAATTTTAGGCTTTAAATACAATACACAATATCACATACATGGACGTTTATATATTGTCTACCCGTTAGAATTACGGCATAGAATAACAGCTGTAGTCTGTAATAATTGCATTTTTATCCATCCTCGATGTCGTCAATTCTTGTTTTATACCTATACTATATAATTTCCTGTACAGTTCTTGTGCCAAAAACTACAAATTACAATATGCAGAAGCCACTCTAAGCGCTGCTCTCTTCTTATCTTTCCCCATCTCTTTCCAGCCTGTTTTGCTCATCTTATCTGACCATATCTCCGCTCCGTATAGCATTTGGAAGTGTACAACACTAGCTAAGTCTTCTTCTTCTGGGTCTGGCTGCGTTTATGTTCGGCATTATTTTCGCTACATTATTTATTGTCTTCCCTGTTTTGACTGCCATATATCTTGCGTGTTCAGTAAAATTCAGCTTCGCGCCCAGTTAAATACCTAAGCTTTTGTCCATGTTTTGCTAGCCAGGACCTCACATTCTCTAATGCCGTCGTCAGTATCCTTTCCGGGGTATATACTCTGTGCTTCAGTGGCAGTGGCACCTAACCGCACAAAAGTTGTATCTGCGCATTACAGCTTTCCGAAATACTACAGTACGATCAGTGTCACCAGCAGACGGTAGCCCAAACCTAAGCTAAACCTAAGCTAACCTAAACCTTTTTTTTTTTTTTTCAAGTCAGAATTATAGGCGGCCCCAGAACTCGCCTAATAAGCATTACTTTGGGGCCGCCTACATCGTTTATTGTGGCAAAATAACATTACAAAATATATACATAAGTAATATGACAAAAACACAAATAATTAAACACAATACAATAAATGAAGAAAATTCAATATTGAAAAAATAAAACTACTATTTAATCAAGCCAAGGGTCCTGTTGCCGTTACCTTCCAGCCTTGGCCTTCCGGAACGCCTCACATGGACTGCTGCCTGGGTAATGATAACACTTCTTTTGCATCTCCTCACATAGAACACAGTGTCTGGTTGCCTGGCATTCGCTTGCGCGATGTTCGACCCCACCACAGGTCATGCAAAGTTTTCTTCGGTCTGGGCCTTTGCATCCCTCTTGCCTGTGGCCGTAGCCATGGCAGTGGAAGCATCGGTCCAGAAGTCGTTCTGCTGGTCGAACACGGCACAAGACCCATCCGATTCTTACTTTCCCCTTCTTACAGATGTCATTTGCAACTTCTGCCGTCACCGTAACGATCGCCTTTTGTGTTCCTCCGTATGAGGGGTGATCCTCTGAACACTAACTTCATTGATGTTGGCACTTTCTTGACATATGCCAGCGTATACATCACCGGCTCCGTCCTCCGCGCTGATGTCTCTTATCTCCACAACCTGTTTGTTGGACGATGCTCGAATACCGATGTCGGATCCGAGTAAGTGTTGCGCCGCAGCTTTGAGCTTAAGAGCAGCCTGGCTGGCATCGGCCTCACCTAAACCTAACCTAACCCAAACTCAAAACCAAACCCAAACCTCCAAGTCCTGTATGTTGCAGGACCCAAAGCTCGGCTCCGAAATGGGCTCGTCATCTTTTTTCTTACGCTTCCTTGACTGCCGTATGACCGGAGACGCCTCTTTGTTTGGCATCCTAAATGCTATGTCTTCATCCAGAGATTCACCTCCGGAGGTGACTGAGTCTTCTGTTCTGTCTTCTTCGGTGATGGGATCTGTGGACACCCCAACATCAATTGTTTTGCTCGCATAGTAAACCTTTTCCCTTTCCCGGTTGGTCGCATCTAACAGCTCCTGGTCGATCTTCCAAATCTCACCCCTAAGGGTGTTGAGGACTGGGTTTAATACCTTCATGCTGTCTATCGTTTCCCTGATTAGCTCCACAACGCATCTTTCTCTTCCTCCTCTTCTGCCGCTTGCAGGTCTTCTTCTTCCTGTCTCCGTTCTACCTAAACCAGACATTTGGAAACGAACTTTGGTTACATTGGTTTTTCAAGTCTTTAAATTCAAACTTGGCTGGTAGACTTTTTTTTAATACCAGCATTTCTGCTGATAACTAGCTTGTGTTGAAATTTTAAAATATCCTGATATATCAAACAATGAACAGTCTAGTATTTCAAAAAATGTAACCATGTAATACATATTTTAAATAATTAGTTATTTTTATCAAACTAAAACGTGTATTTACACAATACTGTTTTTATTGTAAACTATTTGTATTATCAAACCAGTAAACCACTATAATTTACAAATGATTTGTGAAGTACTGAAATAAAAAACTCATGGTAATTGGGGGTGCTCATTTGAAGCCTGGGGGTGCTAAGCATCCCCTAGCACCACTCTATGCAGTCATCCGAAACTGATTATCGACCAGTCAAAATGTTTATTATATTATTCTTAATTTAAAAAGTTAATAAAACATATGCATTACCATTTAAGTTTCAAAAGTTGCTATCAAAAAAACTGAGTGTAAAACAAAAAAAATTGTGAAAGTTTGAGATCACATTGTATAAAAGCAACATATAAAAAAAATTAAATTTTTAGTAAACCCTATGAGATATTGAGTGGCTTGTAATAAAAGAATCACCTTGTATAATAATAATAATAATAATTGTATAATAATTAATCAAACATATCTAAAATAATATGTTTATGTTAAGTAATTATATTTTTAAGGGTCATCTCACTGGATAGCTTCCCTACTCGTACTCTACAAGTCATTTATTTACATTGTTATCATATTTGCTTATTGTATATTTTTCTTTATGTACAAATTGTAAATGTTATTTAAAATTAAAATAAATTATACTTTTGTGATACAATGAAACCTGATTTTGTATCGATTAATTATTACAATGTACACTCTTTTTCGTTACAAACGAAAAATTATATTTATTTTAATTTGTAGTTTGTACTACTTGTAGTACAAAGTAGTGTAAATACAAATAAATTAACTTTATATTGCTGTTATGTATTATTTTAATTAATTGTTATTTGTAACATATAATGTCTTTTAAAAACCCGATACAATTACAATCTGTCTTATGTCAAATAATATTTTTATATTTAATAATATATACATGATTGTATAATATATATATATATATATATATATAAACTAAAAAATTACTATTGAGTGTTAATCCACCGACGTAATCCTAAACATTTTGAATATTGTTAGGATTTAAAAATTAACTCATGTAATTGGTCATTTTTTTCAAGTTGTCAGAAGGTTGTATAACTGAAATACACATACAAATCGAATTATTCACTTTTAATCGTTTCGTGTGAAATAATTGTTTTGACTACTATCCTCTTTAGGATATATGAATCCCGGTTAAGTATTTATTATAATAATTTATCTATTTTGGCACTTACAAACTTAACTCGGTATTTACGCTTCTGAAAGCAATGCGGCAATTGTGAATTGATTACCATGAGAATATAAGTGATTAATTTTGGGCAACCGAGTACGGAACGAGAGTGCCGCGAAATTGACGGAATGATAAATAACTTTAACGTCGATTAACAATGAATCTCTGGCGGGTTAACCTCGTTTGAGCAGGGTATCTTCGGACAGCACAACTATCTGACTTGTTGCACCCGTATAATATAAAACTAATACGTCTACTATTATTGTATTGTTATTATTTCGAATTGTATGTCGTTTTCGACGACAACAAAATATGGTCTCTGATCTTTAAGCACATCGTCTTGTTCTTGTTCGTGGTACACACTGCACAGCCAGGTAACCTCGTCGAAACGAGTTCGGCCGCCTCCCCCCCTGCACCTCCCACCCAATTTCTCTCGCATGGGCCGGCCGACGTTCACGTTCACCACGTTTAGTCGGAGACCGTCCACCATGCCGTTCGTAACGTTATCGCTGCCGCCGTTAGAGTGCCTGTTTACCGTACACGAATTATATTTAAACTTTTGGCTACATTAACGCCGGTACACACACAAATATTGTGGTTTATTGTCATTCCGGGCAAAGTGCTTGTGGATTTGTTGTGCTTCAAGAAATCATTCGACACGGCATCGGATAAGGATAACATGATAATATAATTATTAATTCTCAGTAAGTGCCCCAGTGAAATTAAAGTTGTTATCATTTAATATACATATATTATTGTACATACTCGTACAGCCCGTCTTGTAATCTCGGCCTTCGACCGATCAACAGCTACACATAATTAATTCAAGTGTTTAAACCAGAAACGAACTGAGCACTGATCGGGACAAGGAGAATCGAAATTGACCTTCTTTTCAAAAGCGTATTAAACATTCGATTAATTTCTCATGTGTAGGCATAATAAATCTCAGAAGTCATCACCATATAGTTCATATTCTTATCTATTTTTGATGAGATAGAAATGATATAGCTCCTCTACTTGCCAGTTAACCGTTAGTTAAAACTCAATTTCAACTGAATGAGGTTTTTAAAAACACCTATTATCCAAAACATTTGATGGCAAAAGTTATAATAAAGATTTTACTAATATCAGTCGAGAGCTAACATGAACTGGACAATCTAGATATCTAAACTAAAGGATATATAAGGAGCTAATCGTTAAGAATCGTGTTATTGTACACATATATGACAAATTAAATGTATCGCCCAAGTTAGACCCGCAGTGATATAATAAAAGAGAGGTTCACAGACGCCCCTGGAACTGATATATTTTCTATAGGGTTCAATGTGTAACGTGACCTGCGGTCATGCACTCTTTCCTGTATAAAATGATCCGTGCTAGTACTTCGATTACAATATTTTTGTTGCGGGTACCATTCGAAACTTGCGGGTCAACACTATTGTGTTTGTAAGTCGAGCATAAAATTACTATAAACATTGTATCGGGTAAAATTAGTGTCAACCATAAATACTGTTTACAGTAGGTCATTTTCTTGTGTAGATTAGGCGTCAGTTTACCGTGAAATACTTGAAAGTTTCAAAACCGCCAGCTTTTTTTTTTACATTTTCCGCTTGTATTATTTTATTTATTTGAATTACCGATAATATCTCAACTATTAAGACTGAAGCCGTGTCCGGATTTACACTCAAGTACAGTTCGGATGATGACAACCAACGATGACGGAACTAACAATCATTTAATTACCGTGTTTGTGGTCTTGTACTTATGTCTTATATACTTAAGTTTCAATTAACGGTATGACACAGCCCGCTATCTCACATTACCTAACCTAATTACGCGAATTATCAGTGTGAATAATCGTTTTTATTTTCTTGACCAGCCTTGATTTCTGCGGTGCATCTTTATTTATAAAATACGCGATAAACTGTAATTTTGGCAAAGAATCAATCGCTATTGACCATTCAAGCTGTAAGTACGTATTAACGTATATGTACTTATCACCTTCATCACCATCAACAACGCACTGGTTGAATAACGACATGTCATGTAATTTCGTGTAGAATTCCTTTGTAATATTGTTTTATTATTATAGTTATATATGAATATCTGAAGTAGAAATCTTCGATCTTAATCCATTATATATTTATATGCAAGCGTAATCCGTTTGTATTGTGTCGATCGCCTATTTAAATAAATTGTGGACACAGGAGACGACAGAAAAATATGTATTTTTGATATTATTGTATTTTCACTCTCCCTTGTTATTATATTTTTATTACGTTATTGTCTGTTGTTGCTGATGTTAAATCGCTACTGTCCCCTCGCAATTCATCGACCAGCCGACGGTTATTGAAATTCTCTTTTACCACTGTAAATACTCTTCGGCACTTATCGTGATACACCTATATCCCGGATGTTTCTATATAGTGCATGGCGAGCGTGGCGACGCACATATTATATTATTGTTGACGAGAGATTTTGGTAAAGTGAAAATTTACACCTAAATTTCAACGAGCCGTCGTACCTAGGTCGATTCGGGTTGGGTTCAATTTTGCACGTGTGACGGTATAGGAGAATATACAACATACAACAGTAGATAGGAAAAAATAAACAAATCTCGGTCCTCGGACCTATGAAATCCAGGTAAAAACCACCCTGACTAAGGTGATAAACCATTACGCCTACACCGACAATAGACGTACCTGTTTGGCAGTTTGTTTCCAGGATTACTTTTAGTAGTTTTTTTAAATGCCTTTCGGTCAGTGTTCAGTCACGTAAGTTCAAATATCACGTTTCGAAAAACTCCCAAACGTCAAATTACATGTATAGTAATATTTAGTCTATATTCGAGAAAATATAATCGGATGTCTCCTCCTACCAATAAAAAGGAACGTTTAAGGACGACCAGATATATTGTTATAACGCATATGAATAAATTTCTGCAAAATATCTAATCATACTGCATTCTATATATAGGCTATCGTAATCGAATAAAATAATTGAATGCGTAAAACAAAATACAATGTGTAAGGCGATTTTTGTGATAAACATAAACTCTAAAACTGGCGTGTCAATTTTTTTGTGGGGTCAAATGCGCTTTTATCCTTGAATTTTTTTGTAATATACACCGTCCGTAAAACCTAACCGGTATGATAATAATAAAAACGCCTACAACGTCCCATGGCGCGTGAGTTAACAATTAAACAATAACAACATTTATTGTAATTGAAACAAAAATAAAGTAGGTAAGAAAGTAGAGTGCAAAATATATTATAGACTAAAAGTATAATATATATGTTTGAACATCGGTCCCCTATAAACACAACTATATTTTTGTTTTCATCTTTCAGCAGCCACCTGTAACACAGGTCCTGTATGTATTATTCAACTCCTACATATTATATTGTACCGATGGATGTTTTCTTAATAACACTCGTGGCTTATAATGGCACACGCCTATTGTCTTGAGAAATGTGTATCGTTTGATCAACGTCATTGCCCGTCCATGTGTGTGAGCGTGTGTGTCATTTTGGGTAGAAAACCATTTTCTTTGTGCACCGTTAATATCGTTTAAATTACAGTAAAACGACCGGTATTAAACGACCGGGCTAGTTTTAATTTCAAAACTGCGCGGCGTGCGCTTGTAAAAGTACCTAACTAATATAGAAGTACCTGGAGACTAACCTATTCGCTCGTTAGATTTTTCATTTCAGACAATTAGCCGGTGTGTAGAAACGAAATGCTCGAGGTGTCGAGAATATAATATTTTATATATATATATGCTATTGACCCCCGTACCATGCCTCCTAATGGGTTTTCAATCATTTTCGGCGTATATTATTTATTGTGGGTTCTGTAGGCGATGAGCAGAATAATAGTTTCGACGACTTCAATATAACTCACTCTCTGAGGTTTTAACTTTACACCTTTTTAATCTTAAGCATAAAAACTGGAAATGATCTACAAGTATAACATACTACTCTGTATTATGATCCAGCTATGATGTTATGCCATAGCGTAGATATGTGTGAATGAGTGATGGAGTGAAAACAAATTGATATAAGAACAATTTTGTCTTTAAAATTATAGATATGGAAGTATGAATATTATAGTAAGTTTATAAGAGTGTGGCATGCGTGAGTGTGTGTATATACGTGTGCTACTTGCATAATCCTATCCGTATCTTGTGTGTGCCGCGAGGCTGTTCACGTCTCCGGGCGATGCTGAGGCCGCATTTTTCGATGTAGGTCGTCCTATCCTCGATTTCGCCACCACTCCGCTGTATAGTACGTCTGTATCTTAATCTTTGCTGGGCTACTCGTACATTGGGCGAGATTAACGTTGTAGATATTGATGAGGAGAAATGGTTACCGTGTATGGGATAAAGATTAACACGTCAATATACCGGTTGCTATCGGTGTTAACAAAAAATCATTGATTAAACCACGTACGAACTCCATTACCCGAATAAATAACCGAAATAGAATTTTCTAAAGTGCGTATTTGATTTAAAAAAATGTTATTGTTGTCTTTATACCATAAGACCTAACGTTAAAATATCGATAGCATAGTTCACTCTTATTCAAAAAGACTTATTGGGAACACAAACCTCAAATTTTGCTGCTTAAGACCCTGTCAAATTCATTATAACATGGAATGATGTAGCATTATACATTTTCAAACTTTGTTCCTGTAAAATTGTAAGAAAATGCACTTAAGACAACAGTCATAAGTAAGAAAATAATATAGTTTTAAAAGTGATAACAATAAATTAACTTGGTATATTATTTTGATCTTCTAAACAATTTGTTTGTTCTAGATGTGGTAAGATCAACAAAAGTTGATGTATTACTTATTTTTGGTAAATACTAAATTTAATAAAAATAACTAGTAGCAAAAAGTGGTGTATCAACTGTTGTCATTTTACCACATTATTAATTTAAACAATTTTATTGAAAAATAATAAGTTTAACAGTCAGTGTGTGAGTTGTACAATGTTAAGAGTACAAAATGTGTATACTAATCATGAATATTAAAATATGAATCCAATAGTTATTTTAAGGTAATAATGTTCAGTAATTTTTTAATAAGCATGCGTTTTGTTGCTGAGTCTTCAACCGTATTACCTTACAAATTACAGAAAATAACAATGTGTATCTTTATGTCAAATTAATTCTCAACCAGCCATCGTTTACGGTTCTATTGTTTTTAAAGAGTTGGGTATTAATAATAATAATAATTCACGGTGCTTGGAGACTCAAGTGTTAGTCGCGCGTGGTTCGTTTCCATGTGGGAGTGTTCGAATGTAGGAAAGCTATTGATTATTGAACCATGTCAGTATTATTATTGTAATCTCCGTATAGTAATCAACATGTTGAGTCCTTTTTTTCGGTTTCTTCATTTTATTTTTTTAGGAGATTAGCTTCCTTAATGTTCTTAATATAAGTGTTATTTATTAACTCTCCACTCGATTACGGTCAGCAAACGCATCGGCGGGACGGACATGTAAAATATTACAGTGCATAAGGTCGATTTTACGGCTCTGTTTATTACGTACGTTAACTACTCAAATTACCCGACATACCGAAATACCATTCTTTTGAATTTAAGTAGTACCGAGTATCCAAGAAATACAGAATAATTAATTTTTTAAACAATATACAACGCGGCTTCCTGTTGATAGAAAATAGGTACACGAGCTATATACACTTTTACTGTAAAGAATTAGCCGGTACAAAATACAAACAATACATATTGTATTTTTTTTATGCGTGTGGCCAATAAATTGCTGTTAAACCTTGACACTTCTTCCTCATTGTTTTCAATCAATAAGCAAACGAAACAATTGAAAAAATGTTTTCTGACGAACACATCATAATAGTTGCTATGTGCTATATAATATTATCTGATGAATTTAAATGTTGATGACCGTGTAATGTAAAGGTAGTTCTTATAAAGTTATTTTATACTGACCGCCCGTGCACTGTTCGTCGAGTAAGGCGTAGGCGCAACTTTTTTTTGACTTATTGCATGATGTAATTTCGTTTTGGGTGTCTATCATGCAAAAATTAGGCATGCGCCATGTTCGGTCAATATCCTTAATTATTTTGTTTCGCTATCATAAATATTATAAATTCGGCTGGTTTAGACTGTTCAGTAACGGATCCTCTGGCGACACTGACGTCTACCTAGCGCGACTAATGGGTACTCTTCAGGAGCGCGGATGCGCAAATAGAATATTATAAAAATAAATAAAATGTAAACCGAAAGACAATATATGAGTTATAACGTATATTATATAATAAATATTTATGTATATTCTATATGTCTGACTTATTGTTTCCTAAGCTTAAATAAATATAAAACAAATAATGACAAAAATATGTTGACGTCCAACTATTGCGAAAAAGATATTATTACCATAATTGTATTATGATATAATAGTTACATTAAGTTTTAATTTTACTGCAATAAAATTGTCTACACAATATTGGACGCGTGTTTCTCAATCTGATTAGTGTCTGACCTGACTATTGTCTATGGACACCGTAGACCGGTGGACGGTGTAAACTTTGTATAATAGTAAAGCGTATTATGACTGCTCCACCTCACGGTGTGTAACGCACACGCAAGCCTTGTCGGTAACGGTACCTTTGGTTTGTCATTCTTCACCGTTGCGTCGTAAGAACATGTAAACATACATAGCTGACACAATCTGTTCCGGTTCATTGTTCGTTGACTGTTCATTAAAGTATTCTAGCGATTTTTTATGTTTTTTTTTGTCATCACTCATCCTTTTATTACATATTATTATTATTGTATATTTTAGAAATTCGTTGGCCGATATTATATTTACTTGAACGCCTAAAAAAACGACTATTTTATTGTTGTTTTCAAAACATTAATGAGGTCGCGACCATCGTGGCTATGTTTTGTCGACCGTAAAATAAAATAATTAACGATGTTAATCGAGTATATGTATCGACCTCGAAGATTACAAATTCCTAACAATTGCGTGTGACTCGCCAAAAATCTCACACGAATTCGGGCTATGCTAGACATAAGGTCACAGGAAATTTCATCGGCCAATTTTTGTTTGTTATATGTGTGGCATTTTAGTAGACGTTGGCATGCAGCACTAAAAAAAAATTAATTGATTTATTAAAAACGTATTGTACTATTACTATTAACTAACGTGTTTACGCTCTTTAAGCTCTGCTATGTTATTAATACTATAATAATTAATATCATAATTGACCGGCTGTAATTTCTGCAATAAAAACGATTGTTATACCTAAACCGGAGAACTTGTAGAATACGGAAATAATTATACAATGTCACGATGAAAATATGCACGTTGTATTAATACAATATAACCGCTTAGACTGGTACCTATAATAAGTTTGTCAATCAAATAATAAGTAATAAGTAATAACGATATGTCCATACCTAATGGAAATCTGTGCATGAAATGGCCGCTACTATTGTTTTTTTTTAACATTACATTTTATAAACAACTTAAAGTTTTTATTTTCCTATAAGTATTCATGGGTAGGTAGGCTTTATATAAGATAACTCTTAATCAGAGTATTTATTTAATTTTTGTGGTGTGGTTCCTTTTTACTATCAATTTTTATGAGTTTATCTGTAAAAAGTTAAGAATCCTTAACATAAAATTGGAATCCGAAATAAATCTATATATTTTAACAAACCGTTAAATATTAAAATGTTTCGTTTTATTATAGGCCTCAGTAGTTTTTTTTGTTTCTGTCCAATTTTTAGTTCTACCGTTCGTTTTTTTCGGTATATTTCTACAGATATACGACATTAACATTACCCCAAAATAATACACAAACACAATTTATTCGCCTATTATTGTACATATTCGTTGAGTAATTAAAATAAAAGCCTAATAATAATGTCGTATTACAGCGTTATAAATATTATTCTAACTCGTTTTGGCTATAAAGTAATATTGGTCGCATTCTTGTGCGGTGGCACTATGCCATTAATAATTATAACTTTTTTTTTTACTTCTCGTCTCGACTTTTGACAATAGATTTAAATTATTTACATAATTCTATAAGTGTTGTTAATAGTTTTTTTATTAGAAATAATTTTTTTAATATAGTGTAAATTAAACGTTTTATAGTAATAACCATTATTTTATTTTGAGGATGCTGTCTTTAACGTAGGACTTGACTCTTGAGGGAGGTTCTTTGCGTAATAGATTACGTGTTCGTAACGAGTAGCTGTTCAATTATTCGTGTAAGTGTGTGCGTTTTATCTGGAATCACTCTTTTTAACTACGACTTCGACATTACCTGCACCAACTAAATATTGTCATTCAATTACAAAACTAGTTCAGTATTTTTTTTATTTACGTACCAGTATTTTTAAGCAATGCAATCAAAATACTAAATTGTCATCCGGACGGCAAAGTTAGGTGACCGATGATGCGATGACTGGACGTTATTATATGATTTTACTTAACAAGGGTTGACAAAAGGACATATTATAATAATTTATATAAGTTTAGTTGTTAAGAAACGGTCTTAACTATAGTTTCGCCACGTCATCTACGAGGAACTGTATCGGAGCTCGGCACAGACTTACCTATAATATTAATATATTATATAAAAGAAAATAGGGACGGCGCATTATCTGATTTGGTTCTGCGTCATCCTCCTCGACCAATCTGTTTGTAAGTAGATGAAAGACCATATGATAACTCGGCTTGTGAGGAGATAAAATATATATTTTTTAAGACATGCTATGAAGATACTTATTCACGTCATGTCGAAATAATGTATTGGCGACAAAAAAGACCATACTAACTGTTGCGTCGTCCTAATCTGCCTATAATGTCTCGCGTTAAGGTACTTTACATAGAATCGTTAAAACACTGTGTCCAGTTTGTGTAGTATTGGCCGTTTAATATCCATGACCAAAGACGTGCTCGTGTTTCCTAACGCCGAACCTTCCTTCATCAATAGTCGTCGCTCGTACTCGACACAGACTATGTCTTTAAAACCGAACAGACACACGGTACCCTCAATGGCCGCGCGCATGGTTGATATTATTAATGGTGCATAGGAATCGTGTTTTTAAAAAGAATATACACATATAGTTGAGTAACAATATGCTCATAAAAATGTGTAGCCGTATGTACGCCTAGATGTCATTGTGTATTGTTTTTAAGGGAACCGAGCGGGGTTAGGGACGCATAACAGAATGAAGTAAAAAATAAGAAAACCGTATTATTTTGTTGATTAGATATTCCGTGCGCAGCCCAAAACTAAATATACCTATCTACAGTCTTGGCTGGCGGCAGTAAATATTTTTATTGAATATTTAAAAATTCCTTTCTATACAGAATATTACCTAACCGAACTTTTCGTCAATATAGGAAATGACGTAAAAAAACATATAATTAATCCATTGAACTAGTAGTCTAGGTATAGTTATAGTATACATATTATAATAATATACACTGTGGGATTGGCATGATGTCCGTCAGGAATTCCTCGATACTAGTCGTTAATGACACGAACACGAACCTTTAGGAATTCGACAATAGGCACACAGGACGTGTTATTGTAATTATCGAGTTATTGTATGTTATAGATGTGAATTTCGACCAAAGTATTGAAAAAATCACTAGTTGTCAAAAAATGCATTTATTTCAGTGGCTGCAGTCAAACGCTGTACACTTATTAAAAACGTGTCGTGACTTATTATTTTTAATTTTTGTGCTTTATTAATGTTTGCAGGTAAACTATTCCGTCCGAGATGCCACCGTCTAGGGATTCGATGGCTTACACCAAAGGCCTGCTAAACGGACCCGGTCAAAACAACTGTTTCCTCAACAGCGCCGTACAGGTAAATGGTCAACATTTTCAATGCAGTGCAATCGAATTTGACTTGATTTGTTTCTAAAAATGGACCGGTCGTCGAAACGCAATAACGTAGGCTGTACGTAGGGGTTAGTGGTAATCGCGGAAACAGCGTGGGAAAAATAAATTAATCGCCAACGTTCGTTGTATAGTAGCCATACGGTTTTCAATTTCTATATATTAAGTAGTAATCCAATACGTAAAACTATAAGAACATCAACGATAATACGAAGATCTTATAATAATATAGTATGTTATATAGTTAGTCGATGGACGAGAAAAACAATAGTTAAGATTTATGGTTTTACTTGGATTCGATTAACAAATTAAATAATAATAGCTTATAACGTACCGACACTCAAATGATGCATTATGCAGTCTTTTTTAGTAAACATACGTTTATTATGTACGTCTAATGCATTCGGGTCTCGTTGTTGAATTTTATAATTAATAACTGTAAAAATAATTAATCATATCCTGTACACGGTTTCTGATCTATAACCTCGACCCAGTGGCTAAAAAGTTATCGTGGGTCCAAACACAAAACAAAGAATAATAGCAGTAATAAATGATTACATTTAAATAAATCACTTCTGACATCTACGATGAATCTAAAATATAAAAACTACATACTTGCAATTTGTTTTTATACTATTAAATTTCAGTTATACAAGTTAATTTATACTTTACACATGGTTTAAACTTTAAATGAGTTCTGCCGTAGAACGTATGCCAAATAATTCGTTTCGGTGTTAAGTGATATAAGTTATAACCGATGCAAATATTTGAAATTCGACTCGAGGTCAGTGCCAAGAAGGCTTACAACGCTGTGAATTCTCGGTCTGTTTTCGTTTGTTTCTCGAAAAAATATCGAACATGTGTGGCTCGTATTGCCTGACTAGCATTTTGCACAACACCGTAAAGAAGTATTACTGTGATGTACACATATTACATAAAAGAGTTTAAACGTAAGCCAGATGTTCATGCGTCAATGCTTGCACAGTTAAGCACGACTAGCATCATAATGTCGTCACAAGCTTCTTAAACTTAGTGCATCTAGTTATATTTTTTACTGACTACGGCCTAGCCATTTCCATTAGAAACTGGACAGGAAACAAATACTTTTTTGAATAGAAGGAAGTTCTCATACATGTAGTGGTCAGCTTATACAATATAATATAATATGTATATTACCGGAAGTGGAGTAGCACCTCGCGTATTCCGGTTTGTTCGCTATTAGGTAAAAGTTGAATGAAGCACAATATAGTTCCTTGAAGTATATTTTTGTTTTCCCGGACGATAAAACGGGGTTACATATAGCTTGAGATCGATGGTCATTAAAAAAATGTATATATTATTATAATAACGTTTCGCATATTCCAGACCGCTTCGAATCGTACCCGCCCAATTAAGCGACGTGACCCCTTAAAACTATCCATTCAGTGAGAATGTTATAATAAGGTGTGCCGTTTCAGGAGAAACGGTAGTGTGATTTTTCGAGAGTATAATAATATACTTATTACCGGTCCAATTAATATTATTATTGCGCATAACGATTGCTGATTCTGTCGTCAGTCGCTAGATTCATAAGGAAAAAATTGTTTTTAACTACTTTTCAACATGATTATGTATTATTGTTTAGGTAATAAGTAGTATTCTATAGTACTGAATTTAAACCACAAAATTTATTCTGATACCCGAACGTTGCAAGCAAGAGGACGACTCAATAAAATCACGGTCATGCATTACAATTATGCGGTAAGGTGATCATGAAATGTTGCTCGATAATAGCTGTAACCTTATAGGTATCTTATTAATGTCGATTCGAATTAATAACTACGACTGTAGCCTTGTTTTTAATAAAAAAATTACATATGCATTTAATTTTTTAATATTCTTCAATAGGAAAAAAACATAACAATTTAACGAGAGTGACAATCAACCACAATGGGTGTAGTTTATTGCAATGACACAAACAACGTACCCGACTCCATTAAAAACCATAGTAGAAAAAATATATAGTAACCCACTAGTACAACTGTAGTATTGTTGCAGTCTTTGTTTTGCGGCATTTTCGTTTTCGCCTTATCCTTTATCTTCGAATTTTGTTTAGATTTAATTAAAACTTATGTTGTACCTAAGTTATCCGCAAGCGCTATGGATATTATGTAATACTTAAAACACTGAGAGCAAATATATTATAGAGCATGAATGCCGGTATAAGTACACAATACACATACAGATTTCTCTAGTCACTAGTGTACTGAACACTGAGTTTTATCAACCTCTGAAATCCGCTCAACGCGAGAACGTTTAGACAGGTTTCGTCCATTGAGTCTTTTCTGCGATTTTTATAAAATAAACCAGTTTAATTAAAACGACCGACTGTTCTGGATAAGATTTTGATCCCTCGAGCAAATAATTACAGCACACAAACAAAATTGGAGTTCAAGATAATTACGCTCAAAGCCGATGTTTATGTATGTAAATCCAGTTTTAAAATCGTTTAAACCCTCTGTACTTAAGGTACGCTGCATGAGGCGGGGTATTGGGGTGTTGATGTAAAAATAATGTTTTCTGAAAAACCAGCAGCAGTTTCACAGGAGTCTAGGGAGGGCGTGCTACAGGTGGCTGACAACATTCTAAAGGTTTATTATAGTATAATATTATATGCTTTATGATTTCGAAAACTCTATATTATATGCGTTTTTTTATCATAAATTCTGCTGGCAATCGGCGTGTGAACAAATATGCGTGTACTGTTTTTCAATCCGAATGCCGGGCAAATAGCCAATAGTTATAATTTCTAAGTCACCGCAATCGTATCTTTCAGGACACGGCCGAACACATTTCAAGGCGCTTCTTGATGAGGTAGTAGACAAAAAGTCAAAATAGGGAGATAAATTAAAAACAAAATGTAATTAGTTTTACAATCGATTTTAAATGGCTATTGTCCACTAGTTATTCTGAGAAGAAGATACGTGTCAAAGTCACAACCACTAAACAGTAATAATATGATTACACTCATCATATTATCATTATACTAGGAATATTGCAAATCATTATTATAATTTTTTTTTAATAAGTTTTTATGCGTCGTGCTGACCGTCAACTGTATCAAAACTAAAATAAAAAACCGTAATTATAAGAGATGGTTCCGTTTATATAAATCGCAATTAGTCGAATGTCGAGTGTTTCGAATTTTCACGACGACCAGACGTTGACAACAATAAACACATTATAATGCAGACGTGGCCAATACATGACACATGTGTAAATGTGTAAGCAAAAAAACATCGATCATGTGGTGCGCGTTAAAAATTCAACTCCTAGAATTAGAATAATAAACAATTTAATATGATATTCGAGAAGAAAATACGTTTATAGTGAATAAAGTTATCGTTCAAAAAAATTGCGAGTAGGTACGTGTCGCTAGGATTATATAATACAAAAGTAATAAGTAACTACATATTACAAAGTGCGTGGGACATATGTAAGATGGGGTATGTAGTATACGAGTAATTATATTTATTTGGTATACGCATTCTAAAAGTGCTACATGGCTCAGCAGACCGATAAAACCGCTCAGACACATAAAATAGAAATACGGTAGATAAATATTATCCAACACGTATATGTACGCTTTACGTGGTGGAACAAATTTCAAACGGGTTATAGGATGTTTTTTTTTTAAGAATAATATACTAATAATATGTTAATCGCAACGTATAAGGCTATTACGCGACGAGATTATAGCGAAGCTGAGCGACCGGTGTTATAAATAATATAGCGTATCGCGAGCGTATTTATTTTTTATGAACAGACATATCAAAAATAATTGTACCTATGCAAGTACTGCGAACCACCAACGACCTAGTAGACTGGTCATCGACGACTACAGTAACCTAGTTAATAGAATGGTTTCATTTTTTTTTCAAATCGAAAAATCGTTGCGGTTGACACAGTATTGCACGGCGAGGTGTTGTTTTTACATTTTGATTCATTGCCATCGTCAGGAAGCAGGAAGCACGGAACGGTGGTTCGAGGAGCGCATCGCGAGGGGTCGTAGATTGAGTGTTATACAGTACATATAGCCCTTTGGTGGGTAACGTGACAATTGGCCGTTTAGACCGCTAACGAATGAAAAATAAAATATAATAAAAGTGAAGCGTGAAAAATCATATTAAAAAACGCCACCCGTTACCATACATACAGTCATACAGAGTTTAGGCACAGGTGTGCAGAGACTCATTGGCACTGTACAAAGTTGTTTCTTCTTCTAACATATTATATGGTAGTAGTATTTTATTTTGATTGTGTGTAATCCGAAATTTCGACTTACGACTAATGTTCCGGCGTGTGCGCACGCTAACAATGGTGTGTAAAGGAAACAAAAATTAATTTTCTCGTAGAAAAACATAAGGGTTCCTCGTGAAAATATAATATACAGCCGAAGGGCACCGTGGGAGTTGTTTACCGACCGAAACGCTCTTATGTGAGAACCTGCGGCCATTACTGTATGTTTAAAATGCGCCATACGCAGTTTATTAGCCGTGATAATAATTAATAAATGCGTCTATGTGTATATTGTATAAACTATTAAATCTCCTGCGCGGGCGTCCTGCTAACAGGTGTATAGTATAATATATATCATAGCAACAATCGATCACAGTTGGGACGAAAGGGTAGTTTATTTAATTTTCCTACGTGCCATAATAGCGTTAGGAACGTGTCCGAGTGTTGTCTGGGCGATCGTCAAGTACTTGATCTGTCGGTGTTTTATTTTAACGAGAAAAAGTCAAGTGTTTTGATTGTCGAATATTAATGATATTCATAAGACGCCTCGTGAAGTAAATTCTACTTCACACAAACGACCCAACGGTTTCTCAAGCTTGATTTTTAAATACTCTGTATAGACAAAAGCCAAAGATCTTAACTAAAATAAAAAAAAATTTTAAAATGTCTTAGGTTTCGAGAACAGTATAA